TGTATAATCTAAATTGTATACATTTGTATACTCTATAGACTGGAAGTTTTTAACAAATAAAGATTAAAGTGTATCTAAAGACACAACTTTTTATTTAGTTTTGGACTGAGACGGAAAGGGTGGTAACCCTGTTCTGTTTCCCTGGTGGAGAGATCTACTCTATTTGTCCTGGTGAATATTGTCACTGGAACTGAATGTGAAAATTTTGAGTCACCAGAACAAGAATTTGGGGAAATTATCCAATGAGGGAATGTATTCCGGAGGCAACTATCTAAGGAGGGATTTACCTTGCATTGTAGAGATTTCCTATCATTCCCTGTTGTGCCTGCAGGGCAGAAAGTGAAGGGAAATCTCTTAAATGGGACACAAATGGGGAAAAAAAAAATATTATACATTGTAAATGTAAAAAAGAAAAAAAAAAAAAATTTTTTTCTAAATAATTGGTGTATTTTGTGAATATTAGACTTTCTTAATTTTGGGGAAAAGGGGTACAAAAATAACAACCTTTGCATTTTTAACACTGGGCAGATGCTGGAGTTGGAATCTCCTAAAAAGTACAAAGTTGCTGTTTGAACATCGTTTTTTTCCTTATTGTGTAAATTATGTATTTATAATAAAATTATTTATCACTTTTTTGAAACATTTATGAATAGATTTGTGCGTGTAAACAAATCGATTCAGAGTAATCTGCTGTGAAAAGAATACAGTGGTGAGTCATCATTTATTCAAAGGTTCATGAATAGCTATGTTTACCTTCAAACTTATTCATTTATGGTGATGGCCAGGAAAGGAGAGGTTTGATAGGGGAGGATATGGCTAGGAGAGCAGCAGAAGCTCTCCCAAATTAACAAACTGGAGCTTTTGTTTACAGCTATAAAGGATGGCTGACATGGGCTGCTGTATAGATATAAAAAATCCTGTGCAACAGACCGACACTGATCTCTGAAGCACATCAGGCTGTACACTGAGCACTGGCATGTTGGTCACTAGTGGTATAGAGTGTACTGAACTTTTGTAACTCTTCAAATTGTCTAAAGATTTTTTTTTAACCAGTTTTCACTACAGTAACAATACTAAAGGGGGTATCAGCAGTGCTCTCAGGCCACTAATTTGCTTCGACCAGAGAAGAAAAGGAATGGAATTTACCGGTGACAACCATGTGAAAGTTAACCAGATGTTCAAAAAAAACTGTTTTTTTTAGCTTAGGTGAATGTGGCTTTTTGCTTTTTGTGTAGTGGAAAAAATCCAGGTAAGATATTATTGTTGATATTGTGTTGTGTGAGCTGCTTTCAGGACTGCATCTCCATCTTTGTGCAATATTCATGTAATCAAGGGCCACAATAGAGGTCCAGGCAGTGGTGCTTTGAGAGGGAGTCTATAAGCCTATTTAATATAAAACATTTTGAGTGAAGTTGCTCCTTGATATTAGTTTGTCCTAATTTTTCCAAGAATTGTTCCTTGAGTTGACCTTGAGTCCCTTCTTTGACTCTTAATATGGGAAATCCTGTCGTTTTTATATAGCCAATTTTTCTAAAATATAATGAACATCAGTAGAGCTTTGACTATGTCGATCAATAATGCATTGTTATGTCTCAGTTGTACAATGTCTAAGATTTGGCATGACCAGTTTTTAATAAGGAAAAATTTATTCTGTCTTTATCTGTCTGTATAGTAAGTGCTTTTTGACATTGTTGTATGGCTGCTATTACCTTGGTTAAGCATGTTTCCACAGCACTACCGTCTTCTTTGTCAATGGGTTCCAGAGAGGAAGGCAGAGGTTTGAACAATTTTGTTGTGGAAGAGGTTTGTGTTCATATAATATATCCTATAATATAATCCTTCTGCGAATTATTTAGTCCAATAATTTTCCACATAGTATGCCATACCTTCCTATCCATCACTGTCTAAGATGCTAAACTGACTGATTTTTACTGTGCATTAGTCCATTATGTTCCTTGACTTTCCCTGAGCAGTCCAATTCTTTTTTTTGCAGGACAGATCACAGGAGTATTAGTGCAAGTCAGTAGCATGATTGAATGCTGTTTCATGTGCATGTGAAAGTTGGGCACACTCCCCTGGCAATACCTAAAGGTTTATGTGGTGCTTGTCTTCAATCCTCCTACCATGGCAAAAATAACCATAGCAAAGTCATGCGGTATTACTAGATGTGTTCTGCAAGCTCTTCTGTAGAAGTACAAACAAATTGGCATGGTTGATGACTGACAAACCGTTTGTCAGCCATGGAAATTGAGTGCAGTAGATGACAAATACACAGTCTATTGCCTTCTGAAACTAGAGGATGTCCATCACTCAGAAATTTTGGATCCCAGTACAGTTGTGGCAAAAAAGACATTACTCCAAGGTAGAAACAAGCAAAAACACTCAACTCTACAAAGAAACAGAGCTGAAGTGCAGAAAAATGGCAATAGGTGTTGTGAACTGATAAGTCAAAATGTTAAATATTTTGCTGTACTAGAAAACAGTTTGTCTGCCAAATGGCTGGAAAAGAGTACATGGAGGAGTGCCTGCTGAAAACAATAAAGCATGGTGGAGGTTTCTTGCAGTTTTGAGGCTGGATTTCTGTATCTAGAATATGTACAAGGTCAGAATTGATTGCATATTCACTGATAAGACGTAAAGGCAGTTATCCATCATGCACTGCCATCATGGAGGTGTCTGCTCAGTTCCTACCCAATCCTGTCACATAACCATGACCCCAATAACAATAAAAAACTATCTACAGTGAAAAGAGCAAGACACATGGGCCTTATCTTAACATCATCAAGGAGATTACATACAGAACAATGATGGAACTGCGGCAAATTTTCCGGGACGCTTGGAATAAGTTTAACTATTAATGTACAAAATGTACAAAAAATAATTACTGGCAATTAAAAATGAAGAAAAAAAAAAAAAAAACAAATAAAAGAGGTACCGCTCTCAACGAAGGCTCCCGTCATCTGACAGCTCCGCTGGCTGACAGGTCTTAAAGCGGAGTTCGGGCTGAAAAAACAAAAGTCAGCAGCCACAAAAAGTGTAGCTGCTGACTTTTAATATACAGCCACTTACCGTTCCCTCGGTCCAGTGGTGTCCTCACCACGTTGGTTTCACCATCCATCTTCTCTCTCTGGCTTCACAGCTGGGTGCCCGCTGCGCTTTGCGAATGGCCCCGTAGTTTTCTGGGACCTGTCACGTGTCCCAGAAGACTATGGGAAGGGAGGGAGGACAACTTCTGCTTCCGATCGCTAAGGCGTTCACAGCAGAAGTGGGAGTGAGTTTCTGTCAAATTCGGATACCCCCTCCCCCAAAGGTGCCAAATCCTTAATGGGGAGCGGGGGACAAAGCATTAAAGCGGATCTTCTCCTTTTTGGTGGAACTCCACTTTAAATAACTAAGGGGTGGAGCCACCAGGTGACTCCATCCCTTGTGACATCACCGACTGGGGCATGCTGGGTCGATGATGTCGCACTGTCACTGTACTAATGACACTGGGTAGGAAGGGATTAACATCTGGGACAGTCAAAGAGTTAACAGGGTGCTGTGTGTACGTACTATGTAGACATGCTGCTTTGTATTGCTCTGCTGTGCAGAGCAATACAAAGCAGCATGTTCGTGCTGACAGGGGAGAGATTTGTGTTGTTTACACACAGACCTCTCCCCTATCAGCTCTGCCGGCGATCACCGAGTGATCGACATGCCAAGGAGACAATAGCGGCACAGGTAAGAAAATGCAAATCATGTATATATACGTGATTTTGCGCATCCTTGCCACCCTGTAGCAGTACTTCTGCTATAGGGCAGTAGAGAAGCAGTTAACCATTTCAAATCCAGACACTTTTACTCCCTTCCAGTCCAGGCCAATTTTCAGCTATCAGCACTATTACACTTTGAGTGACAATTACTCAGTCATGCAACACTGTACCCATATGAAATTTGTATAATTTTGGCCTTTGGGAAAATGCCCTGCTGTCAGTGGGAGTAAACAATGTCATCTTTGATAATAAGGGGAGGAATAATACCTCATGGTTGGTGTCAGTAGAAGAAATAGTGCCCCATTGTTGGTGTCAGTGGGAGGAATAGCGCCCCATAATTGATGTCAGTTGGAAAAATAGTATCCCATTTTTATCAGTGGGAGGAATAGTGCTCCTCTTTGGTGTCAGTGAGAGAAATAGTGTCCCATTGCTATGGGAAAGTGCAGCACTAAAAAAATTAAAATTAATATATAATGTCCCCAATAATAAGGGCATATATCAGTGACAGTCTATATGGTGAAGACAATTATATATTAATTTTCATTTTTTAGCGCTGCACTTTCCCATTATGTTTATGACAAGGGTTTTAACTTGGTTTCCTTGAGTGTCCAGCTGCTTACCTTAGAGCGCTCACTTTTATTACCATACCACATTAGTATCCCATTGCTGTTGTCATTGAGAGGAATAGTGTTGCATCATTGGTGTCAGTGGGAGGAACAGTGCCCCATCATTGGTGTTGGTGAGAGGAATAGTCCCATTGTTGTTGTCAATGAAATGAATAGTGCCCCATTATTGATGCCAGTGGAAGGAATAGTGCCCCATCATTAGTGTCAGGAATAGTGACCCAGTGTTGGTGTCAGTAAGAGGAATAGTGTAGCCAGATAAAGGCAAGCAAAGGGCCACATCTGGCCCCCGGGCGCAGTTTGGAGACCACTGAGATAGAGCTTTCTGTTGGTGGTATTTGATTGCCACTGGGTTTATTATTTTTTGCTATATAAAAAAAAAAACATTTTTTGCTTAGATTTTGTTATAAAATGTTGCAAATAAATAATTTTTCTTCATAAATTTCGGCCAAAATGTATTCTGCTACATTTTTGGGGTAAAAATAACCCAAAACAGTGTATATTATTTAGTCTGTGAGAAAGCTATAAAGTCTACAAACTATGGGATATATATCTAAAAATTGATCAGTTGAGAACCTAAAATGCCGAACGCTGGTATGGCGTATGGAAATGATCAGGATGCTGGTATGGCGGTGATCATCAGGACGATGGTTTTCTTAATGGATGTGATCAGGACACTAGTATGGGGTATGGCAGGGATCAGGATGCTGGTATGATGTATGACGGTGATCAGAATGCTGGCATGGGGTATGGCGGTGTCAGAACACTGGTATGGGGTATGGCGGTGATCAGAACGCATGTATGTTGTATAGCGGTGATCAGAATACTGGTATGGGGTATGGCAGTGATCAGGATGCTGGTATGGGGTATGGCAGCGATCAGGACACTGGCATGGGGTATAGTGGTGATCAGGACGCTGGTATGGCATATGGCGATGATCAGGGTGTTGGTATGGCACATAACGGTGATCAGGGTGCTGGTACAGTGTATGGCAGTGATCAGGGTGCTAGTATGGCATATGGGGGTGATCAAGGTGTTGGTATGGGATATGGTGGTGATCAGGACACTGGTATAGCGGTGATCAGGACATTGGTATGGTGGTGTTGTGTTGTGCGCACTGGGACAGGTGACAGGGCTGGATGCATTGTTTATTGTCCCTACACTGGGGCAGTGGTCATGGACACTGGTGTGGCTTATACTGCAGTCTGTGAGTGTATATGCAGCCTGACAGGCTGCTGTACAGTCACAGGCTGCAGCATCGCTTCTCGCTGCTTTCGAAGTGAGAGCAGAGAAGCGATCCTTAGTTTCACTTTGCTATGTTTACTATGTGATTGCTGTGATGGCTGTATCCAATCACATGGTAAATCACCATGTGATCACCCGGACACAGCGATAATGTAATCTGATGTGTCCGAACAATATAACGGTCACCGGGATCCCAGGTGCATGCTCTGTGAGCTGCACAGGAGCCACCGATGTGGGCTGATGTACAGGTACGTCAGCCCACAACAACAAAGCTTCCCATCTGCCATCTATAGTCTACAGGTGGATGGGAAGAGATTAAACAAAACTGGTCTTAGGACAGAGCCCTTTGGGTTCCCTGATTACAATTTCAGACCATTCAGAAAATACACCATTAATCACCAACCTCTGGGCATACTCCTGCAAGCAGTTTTCTATCCAGGTACAATCAATATCATCAACGCCAAAAGACCTTATTTGTAAATTAAGCGTTTATGGGATACTGTGTCAAAATGCCTCAAATGTCCATAGGTCTACCTGTATCCAAATTACTGCTAACCTCCCCATAGAATGTTAAAAGGTTGGACTGTCAAGAATCCATGTTGGTTAATACTAATGATACTATTTTCATCAGCAAATTCTTGGGCTGATGTTAGCCTGATTGGTCTGTATCACAATTGCTTTTTGCCAATCAGCTGGTACCATTCCAGTCAGAAAGCTTTTATTAAAAATGATAAAGGTCTTGCTATAACAAGAGTGAGTTCTTTGAGGACTCTTAGGTTTCTCTAGTCTTTTTTTGAACACAGGTCTCTGTCAGCCACAAGGTACATTCAATATATTGTTACTAACATTACACAGGTCTGCGACTAAAAAGCTGTTTATTTTCATCTAATTTCCATGTATTTTTGTGTGCAGAAAACAAATAAAATATTGAAAAAACTCCTAGACGTCATAATTTGCCACAAAATGCAAAATTGTCTTCAAATTTATAAAAAAAAATTTAATTTTTGGTATTTTTTTATATTATGGGTTTTTAACCAAATTTAAAGTCCAAATTACTATTAATTAATTCACATAAGTGCATTTAAGATATAAAATGCCAAAAAAAACCTTAAAGGGGTTCTCCGAGTTATGTAAAAAAAAATATAGCACTGTAAATCTGATGGTCAGCAATATATACATAAGCTAAGCAAGTTTTAGGGAAAAAAAATTCTATTTCCTCATTTCCCTTCTGTTCTCTTCTGGCCCTTTGTTGTTATTTGCAGGAAAACAATCTCTGCCCCTCCCCCCCTGCAAAGGGGGTGAATACAAGTGCTGCTCTGAGTGACATGTCTACTGGGATACTCAGCAGCATGCTGTATGTGTAAGCCTCAGCCCTGAGTCTGTGCTTCTAATGGTAAAAGGGGTTAATCTTTACTGAAGAATTCAGTGGGTGGGATACCAAATACCCTTGTTTTCTGTGTCTATGGGACAGTCCAGACCAACAAAATCACTGGACCAAGAAGAGTTGGCAGCCGAGGGTGCTAACAGTCAGTGAAAAAAATGTCCGAGAAACTTTGGTACCTTCCCTTAAAGTTCTTCTACCACTTCTCTACATAAAATTGGGATTGATGAAGCAATTCATAAAATCACTTCCAAGAGATGGAGAATGCTTCAAATACTTGGACACCAAGTTTCCAGGCCTGTCGGAGGCAAAATTGAAGGAAGGTGTGTTCGTCTGTCCAGACATTAGAAGGCTTATAGTTGATCAAGAGTTTGTCAATACCATGACGGATCCTCAAAAAGAAGGGTGGATTGCATTTAAAGAAGTCGTACAGAAATTTTTAGGCAATAACAAAGATCCTCACTACAAAAAGATCGTCGGACGAATGCTGAAAGCATTTCAAGCTTTAGGCTGCCTGATGAGTTTGAAAGTGCATTTCCTCCAGTCCCACCTTGACTACTTTCCTGAAAATTTGGGAGCTGTGAGTGAGAAACAAGGTGAACGATTCCACCAAGACATTAAAGAGATGGAAAGGAGATACCAGGGAAAATGGAGCATTACAATGATGGCAGACTACTGTTGGATGCTTTAGAAACATTCCAGATGCTACTCACAAGCGTAAATGCACCAAGAGGAGCCTCACAGGGAAGAAAAATTGAGCTTAGTGTGTGTAGGGTGAGCTCATTTCAGTTCAAAAAAGGTTTTTCATGAAAAAATTGTAATAAAACTTTAATTTTATAAGTCTATTTCCATTTATTTTGAGGTATTGCCTTATTTAACATAGTTACCTAAACTGTCAAGAAACACGATGTCCTATGACAAAATGGAGGTCATTTTCGGATTCAGCGCACCAAAAAACATAAAGATTACGCTGAATAACCAAAACAGCTCTTGAAAAAATTTTTTTTGCAGACCTGTGTTATTGACTTGTTTATTATATCCCTACTTCTCATTCATATATTTGTATTTAATAAATTTGCCTTCTCCCTGGCACTTGTGACTTCCCCTGCTCATGGGGTCAATATGCTCTGCCCTTCCTTTTTACTGTTAATATGTTTGAAAAAATGTATGGGATATAATTTATTCTTCTCCAAATTGTGTCTCCAATAATCTATTTTAGCTGCTCTGATTGTACTCTTGTAGTGACAAACACCATTGTCTAATACGTCTTTAAAACACTCCCACTTTTCATCATCAATATTCTTTGTTACAAGAATTTGATCCAAATTAGTATCATGTAACATGAAGTGCAATCCTTCCCCCATGCCTCCCTTTCTTAAAATTTACGGCAAAAGTATTCACTCTATGATCACTATTGCCTAAATTATCGCTTTCTGTCACCTCTGTAATAAGATCTGTGTTTATTGTAATTAGTAATTCCGGCAGAACACTACCTCTATTATGGGTTTCCACCATTTGATACATGAAAATGTACTGCAATACATTCAAGAATCTTTGAACCGTAGTTGAGTGCATAGTCCTGTCTGCCCCATCAATATCGGGAACATTGCTCTGCCTCTCCACCATCTCTAACTGTGAAGGTAGATTGGTTTCTTCATCCTTAATGTTAGTGGGCCTCTAGCATACACCCACAGTTGACTTACTGTTTGTTTCATCCCTTTGAAGCTTCAGTCACAAAGACTCCACCTCCTCACTAGTCCCATTAGAAATGTCATTCCTGATATTCACTATCAAAATGCTTTTGACATACAGGCACATCCCTTCCCCCTCTTCTACTTACCCTGTCCCTCCTATACATGAAGTACCGCTGGACAGTCACAAGCCTGTCATTTGAGCTGTCAAACCAGGTTTCTGATATTCCCACAAAGTCAACTTCCTCCTCATTTAGCAGAAGTTCTAGTTCCTCCATTTTGTTAACCAGACTTCTAGAATTTGTGTACATTTTGTCTGTTTCTGAATAAGCATGTATTATTTTATTCTTGCACAGGTTTATCTATCATCTGGTTTGAGGATCCCTTCCCCCACCTTTGCACACATCTGTACACTCTGACCCTTGAACTGTATACCTTTCTCTGATCTCTCCACCCCACATTTTAGTTTAAAACATTTCTCCAACTTTCTGGCTTTCTCCTCCAACAGATCTCAACCGTCCCCATTAAGGTACAGTTGTTCCTTGCTTTAGAGCCGGTAACAGATCACAAAGTCAGCCCAGTTCTCCATGAACTCCAAACCCTCCTTCCTACACCAGTTCCTCAGCCACTTGTTTACCTCTCTAAGCACCTGCTGCCTCTCTAAGCTGCATTATTTCTAAGAATATTACCTTGGAAGTCCTGTTCTTTAACCCATTCCCGATCGCATCTTGGCCCTTTAAGAGTTCTAAAAGCTAGGAGGTGGACATTTGGGTCATATGACCACTGTGATTGGCTCTCACAGTGGTCTCATGATCAATAAGCTCCCGATCGCAAGTATGCATCGGAAGCTTACCAATTGCCACTGGCTACCGTGTTGGGCGTGTGCAGGGAACGGTAAGTCTGCTGATGGATTTATGAATACTATACAACACTGTAGATGATTTTGATCTAAATAGGTCTCCCATGAATCGTTTTCTTTTTTGCACTGGGGAATATTTTTTTTTTCAGTCAATAGTTATGCTCATGAATTGTGTAAATATGCCTATTATGTGATTTTAGAAAAGTAGGAATCTGATTAGTTGTTTTGGGTGACACGGTTTTATAAATAGATTCGTTATGTGTTTTAGACGTTTGTGACTTTATCCTGCACAGTTCATCATGTAATTGACTAAGCATAGCATATTGTATTTACAAACTCTGCTGTGGTTACACAAGTAGCAGCACATATGACAGAATTATATTTATTGCATTTTATATGGCAATATCCATACATTTTTTTTTTCATGCACCTAAAACCTATTTTACACGAGGAATCTGCACCAGGCGCACACGTGATGCTGAAAAAGTGCTGGATTCTTTAGACAGAGAACCCCAGCGCTATTGAGGTAACAAGTCCTACCCCTTCTAGCCTTTTTCTTCTCCCACCAACCAGCAGTATAGCGACACAAGACAAGGCCAGATTTAGAGGAAAGGGCACACGGAAAGGTCTGCAGTGTGTAAATACTCCTAATTACTGTTGTGCACGTGGAATGCCATGTACACTGGTTAAGAAATGTGTATCTAGCTTAAGTGAAAAATATCCACCTGACCTACAGCATAAAATCTCACAGAATAATGTAAGTTCATACTTACGGAGTGTAAATGCACACACTGCAATCAGCATGTAATACACTAACACTCGCCATTCATACTAGTATATGACGTGTACATAATCAAAATGAATACTTATATTTTGTGTTCACTCAAAAAAAAAAATCACAATGATTATTTTTCACAGTCAACAGGACTTTTGCACAAAGTGCATGGTCGTAATTATGGACTTACTGATGCCAGGTCTCACAGTGTATGAATGCAAACTGAAGAGATACAAGGTGAGGTGAGATCAGGTTCCAGCAAAGTGGGTAGGGACAGCAACACTTACTGTCTTAAGTACACTAGTACCTTTTGGTTTAGGGGCATCCTTTGTATTGTCTTTAGTGTTCAAGGAAAGTAAAGCCAAAGTAAGAGGTGGTCTGGTTTATTTGGCATGAATAGGTATCTTTGGTCAGGGAGGGGTAAGCGGATGCAGCACACAGGATGGAGGGTCCCATTAGCCCTTCACTTGTTCAGGAACTGTGTGTCCGGGCAGTGTTAATGTTAATAACAACAGTGGAATCAATGTGTACAAAGTGGCTGAGCAAAGGATGTACACATGTGCTATATGTTAAGTCTTATAGATAGTATGTCTCCATGATCAAGTCAATTTGTGTGGCAAAAAATATGCTTGGTAAACATGCTATGCCTAACAATGTTTAGGCATTTAAACATAAACCTTTGTAGTTGGATTACATATTATTGCAAACCTGGTGTCCCCAATAATTTCTTTATTGAGAGACAGCAAAACATATTTTAATGTCTGAGAGTGCTTCTGTCAATGATGCAATGCTATGTGCAATTAAATATGCTGTAAATTTCTGTTCATAAGTGCTATGTTTATATGAGTTATAAATGGTCTATTTTACCGGAAAGTTTACTAATCAGTTTTAACTCCTATGCCTGTCCTGTCATCCTACAGTACTCTTCATGCACAGTAATGGACATATTCAATTAAACAGTGAAAAACACACAAGGTGGATATGCAAACTCCTTTAACAACCACTAAAAAACCAATCAACTGGTCTGACTTCAGTAAAGTAAATCTGATTGATGTTATTGGTTACTCCCCTTGGTATACTCTTTTTGTCACTGTTTTACAGTTATGCCTACAAACCCTGTTTTTCTGTGGGAAATATCTAACATCTTGGCAGGGTGTGCTCCAGGACAACAGGATTGGACAAACAGCCAATTAAGAATTCTAAAAACTAGATTAAATTAATGTAATTTATAAAGCAATATCCTAAATGAAAGTAATATTTGTTGTTCTTTCTTTTAGTAAAGTTTTGTTAATTTGGGGAAAACCTGGTACAAACGCTGCTCTTTTATGTGCACCTTACTAAGAGTGATGTATTGTTATAAAACATAACTGTGGTATTTTTTAAAACAGGTGGGTGCAGACAATTTTGAATGCCCCGAAGCAGTGCTTATCCTATTTTGTGGTGCACATATTCCCTCCATGGAATAAGCTACAGTGTTCTTCATCGTGTGCATTTGTCTAAAGCTAGTGTTTGCATTGAATCGTATGCATGTGCTTTATTTTGGAAATGTATGCATCCATTTCAGAGTGTACGTACCATATACTCACATTTGTGTGAGGAATGCCAGCAGTAACACTGATCCAAAACACACAGAAAAAATAAATAACAAAGTCTACTTTTTTGGTACCTTCAGAAACGACCAGAAATGAATCGCTAGTAAAGGGTATTTCAGACACCCAGTACTGCATTGCATTTTGGGATGGAGAAAGAAGTTCAGGCTTCTCCTAAATTCAGTTATGGAAGGACTTCAAATCCCCCCTAAAGCAAAGGGGTGTTTGAGGGATTTTTCCAACCCACCCCCCGAATAAAAATCTGGTCACAAATATTTCAGTGCCCTTTCCGTATCTGGTTGAGAAGAAAAGGATGGCGGGGTTTGCTCTGCAGTCCATAAGTCTTTGATGTGAAGTGCTGCCAGACGGAGGAAGACCCAGGAAATGGCAGGCAGTCAAGTTTAAAGTCTTTGTCAGTTACAACTGAACAGAGTTAAGGTAGAGGGTCATGTTGGTCTCTGGTGGAAGTGCTGGACTTTGGGGCAGAGGAGGTAACATCTGGGTGCAGAAACTATTAGGACAAGTCTTCCATAACTGTCTCTGGTTCCATGTCATGGTCCTCTGGCAGCACTGTGTTCTGGTTGGAGACTGAGAGGGAGGCAGGTCTCACTTCCTCTTCGGCTGGCTCTTCTTTGACATGAACAGATTGACTAAAATAAAATAAAAAAACACAGTCATAAAGCAGCTGACAAAAAATCTCAAGCCAAACTAATTTTTTAGTGAAAAGAGGTTGGAACCTCTGTTCATGCTGACATCCAGGACTCTGTTGGGGAGATTTTCCATCACTTTGCCTTCTGCTGACAACATTGTCATAGGACAGCCACAGACAGGAAAAAAAAAACATTATTTAGTAGAGTTGAGGGAGGCTAAACCACCATCAGGATTCTTTGGTGTCTGTATTCTCATTGCAGATTTTCATTTACTTCCTGCCTTGACAACATTTTCATCAGGATAAAAAGTGAGGTCAAATCAAGTAAACTAAATGAGAAGGTTTAAGATAAAGTATATATTACTGTGAAGCCTGCCCCTTAAATTTTTTATGGGCAAATCTGAATAAGAAATGTTCTGCGCATTTAAACTTCTATTTTTAAGTCCATTTTACCTCACTTTTAGCCTATTGTATTCTACCCTAACCTATGGGACGTAATAATTTTACGCACCACCCTCAATACTAATCACATGGACACACACATTAAAATTTTTTAACAAGAGTCGGTTTGATTTTAATTCATTATTTTTGTGCATTTAATTTTCTATTTTTAAGTTTTACATCAGGAACCTTACCAATCCTTATCTATTATGTACCCAATAGGTGTTATATGTACCTGGTGTTCACCAATCAGTATGCTATGTTTGTACAATGATATTAACGTGAATCAAGTAAGCGGTCTCTAATTTTATTCCGGATGATTGGGCTTATTAGTTTACCCAGGACCTCTGATGTATCATTTACATCTCATTATATTACCACTGGCAAACTGTATTGTACTCCAGTGTAATGGCCGCTATCGGCACGTACTGCGCATGCGCAGATCGCTCGTGAGGAGCGCATAATTTAACTCTCCCCCCTTTTTTATAATACATGGGGAATCACACAACACCATCTTGAGTTATTTATACTCCATCAGGACCTTTTAGTTTATTGTCACATCGTCCCATATAAAATTCAGCACACTCAGGAGCCAGCTTACATGTCCTGGTACACTTCTTGCACATATACTGTAATTCCTTCATCTGAACACATTGTGCTCCAGTAAAATAGCCGCCGTCCATGCGCATCGCGCATGCGCGGGACTGTTCGCGATGACGCGATATGGCGGACTGCGCATGTGCGACATACAGTATATAAGAAACGTCAGAACAGGAGGCACACTCCCTTTGATAACGTGCAAGCGCATGAAACGCGTTAGAGAGGTGCCCTACATCCTGTGACGTCACACCGCACGGCTCCTGTGGACGGCCGGCAGCCATTTTGGAATTCCCTAACATCAACTGCCTACTACTGCATGTGAGTACCTAATTCAAGTACTCTGTATATTTTACCCCTGTGGATAATAAAGTACTACACTATCAGATCTTTCTGTTGTTCTGGCTCGTTACTTCCGAGCCCCCCCCCCCCCCTCAAGGCTTGCTTGGGATGATCCGGTGGCCACATAAGGAATGGTTAAACTCCCCCTGCTGATGAGACGATTGCATATCCCCTGATATCTGGAGACCCTGAGGTTGCGATATTTGCCCAGCTGACTCAGGCCAGACGACCCTCTCTGTGATCCAGTTTCAATAGGCGGATGACCAGGAGTTGGTTAACACTCAAATGCGCAGTACCATTGTGCTTTCTGGTTAGTGCAATCTACACTCATCTCTGTGGGAGGAATACGGTCACAGAAGTCACTAAATTTTTTTACCACCTTACCTTGAAATTTTGCACGATGCACCGCAAGAACACTCTTGTTGGAGATATTTATCTACCATTATCACCATTTCTGGACGTTTAGATATGTTTAGATCGATCCTATGATCAAGTGGTGCTCACAATACCATTGTTTGATCATATGCACTTTATGACTATATGCATGTAATATTGAATTTTATTAGCGCTGCATGTTCTTTTGATATAAGAAATGTTACCTGTATTGCGGTGACAGACGTGGGCTGCTGCCATTACTGTTCCCAGGCTCTCCAGTGCTGGTGACATCGTCATGCCCACCATGAAGCCCACTGCCAGAGCTGTTGAGAGTTGGAGGGCTATTCATCAGGGGAAAACTACTCTCAGCGAGTGCAGCCTGTGAAGAAAGAGAATTGTAAAAGGAATTTCATTTATAGAGAGGAAAACACTTATATTCTACACATATATAAATATGTATACTAAAGAGTATATAGTAGGGCAAATAATCCGCTGAACTGTCAGTATATGAAAAATGACCACCCACAGGTGGCAATTTGAATATTTCTAAAGGCAGATTTATGAAATAAAATTGTGCCATCCAGCCACACTTGAATGCCTAGATTTGGTCCAACATCTTGGTATTTTCCCTGCTGTTTTAAACACACTGGGCCCAATTAGGTATACATGGTGGTAACAAGTATATTTGCTTGCATAAACATGTGTATGGTGTGCCTAGTAACCAGTAACCTATGTTTATTAGGGGAATAATGCATATTGAGAAACGCACACCTAGTATGTCTCCACTGTGCATGCAGCAATACAGTGAATTATAGCAGCTCGCTGTATCACTTCTTTTTATTTCTCCCCAGCAATCAGGATTCCAGGGCAAGAAAAAAGTGCAGGCAGCAGAGCAGCACAGAGCTGTTTGCTCCCTCTGGTGAGTGTCCAAATCAGACACTCATCAGAGGGAACTTGTTGCCTGCCTGCCTGCCTGCCTGCCTGCCTGCCCGCTCCCCTCTGCTCAGCTAGGTAGAGACAGAAAACATACAGCTTCTCCCAGCTCAGTTTGCCTATGGTAAGCATCTATATATTAGAGGAAATCTGCCTGTTGTGCACATTTCTGCCTGGTAAGACCAGGCAGAGATCTGTGGCTAATATTTGCGACACATTGTAGCACAGATATTTGTTTAAATATGCAGACACTAAATTTAAATAAATAAATGAATTGCAATTTGTCAATTTTTGGAGCACAAAAACACAAATTGTTTTTAACATAGGAGAACAATGTTGTTCATTGTTGGAAATGTTGAAAACACAATCATTTATCGGGTCCACTGTGTAATTTTCTGCTGCAGAGAGTGTATGCAAATACATTTTCAGCCTGATGTATTTTCTAGGAGTGCAAGTGAGCATGATGGAGCTCTATTAATTAGAATATAAATGATTTGCTATATGAAGATGTAAAATGAGCTCATAAGACATTGTTATGAATATGTCAAATGTTACTATGAGTTGCTTGTGTCAAAGGGAGATCATCTGTCCATGTGAGATTACAGTCAAACATTGGCATAAAGCTGCGGCTGCTGTAAGCCTGTCTTGACTTTGTACAAGCTTCCTGCCTGCAGCTGTCTACATGCACATGGGCTTCCGGATGCAGTTTTCAGCAAAATGCTTTCTGCACCATGGCCTATTTGACTGTGTGCATGAGGCCTTAAGAGTTAGAATTATTAAATTTGCACAAATGAAAGATTTCTCTATGTTACAAACAGCATTCAAATATAAAGTGGGTAAAATAGGTATTGAACACGTCACCATTTTCCTTGGTAAATATATGTCTAAAGGTGCTATTGACATGAAATCTTCACCACATGAAGAAAATTAAGTTCAGAAATTAAGTTATGTGTAATAAAATAGAATGGCACAGGGAAAAAGTATTGAACACACTAACTGAAATTTATTTAACACTTTGTACAAAATCCTCTGTTGGTAATGACAGCTTCAAGACGCCTCCTGTATGGAGAAACTAGTTGCATGCATTGCTCAGGTGTGATTTTGGCCCATTCTTCCACACAAACAGTCTTCCCATCTTGAAAGTTCTGTGGGCCTTTTCTATGAACTCTGAGCTTTAGTTCTTTCCATAGATTTTCTATTGGATTCAAGTCGGTGATTGGCCGGGCCATTCTAGCAGCTTTTTTTCTTTGAAACCAGTTGAGAGTTTCTTTGGCTTTGTGTTTGGGATCATTGCATTGCTGGAATGTCCACTCTTATTTCATCTTCATCATCTTGGTAGATGGCAGAAGATGTTTAGCAAGAATAAATTGGTATGCTTTTCCATTCATCCTTCCAATGATAAGAAGTTTACCAGTACCGTATGCTGAAAAACAGCCCACCTCCAAACTTCACTGTTGGTATGGTGTTTTTGGGGTGATGTACAGTGCCATTTGATCTCCAAACATGAAGTGTATTATGGCATCCAAAGAGTCCAATTTTGGTTTCATCTGACCAGACTATATCCTCCCAGTATTTCATAGGCTTCTAGGCTTGTCTAAATGTTGTGCAGCAAACCTTAAACGAGCTACAACCTGCTTTTTCTTCAGCAATGGAGTCTTGCCAGGTGAACGTGCTTACAGGCCATGGCGGTTGAGTGCATTACCTGCCAGGTCTTTCTAAAGCTTTCCATAAGTGGTCCTTGGCTCTTGGACAACTCTTCCGACAATTCTTTTCACTCCTCTGACAGAAATCGTGCGAGGAGCACCTGGTCATGGCTGGATTATGGTGAAATGATGTTCTTTCCACTTCTGGATTATGGCCCCAACAGTGCTAACTGGAACATTCAGAAGTTTAAAAAATCCTTCTGTAACCAATGCCTTCAGTATGTTTTGCAACAAGAAGGTTGCGAAGGTCTTGAGAGAGCTTTTTGCTTTTACCCATCATGAAATGTTTCTTGTGTGAGACGCTAGTGTAGAGACACCTTTTTATAGGCCATCAGTTGAGAATGAACCAACTGATATTAATTTGCACTGACAAGGGGCAGGATTGCTTTCTAATTACTGATAGATTTCAGCTGGTGCTTTGGCTTTCCATGCCTTTTTGCACCTCCCTTTCTTCATATGTTCAATATTTTTGCCCTACATCATTCTATTTTATTACATATAACTTATTTGTTTTGATTTCTTTGTGTGTATGGATTGCATGGGTTGTTACCGATATGTGGTAAAATGGCATGTCAATAGCACCTTTAGAAATATATTTACTTAAAAAAATTGGTGTTCAATACATGTTCAATACTTATTTAACCCGCTGTAAGTCTAAAGGATCAATTTACAAAGTCTTAATACAAGGGTAAGGCTCTCTAACTTGAGTCCACATGACTGTGATTTTCAAATCCCCATGCTCAGCTGAAAATAACTGTCACACGCTGAAAATAAGTATATTTACCCAGATGTGCTAGCTTTGAGAGCTGAGCCTTAAGGGCCCCTTCACACCAGTGTGCAGAGACGGCAGTTTTTCTGCACACATTCTGCAAAGGCACAGCAAAATCATTTGTTCTCTATGTGCTCTGTTCACACCACAATGCTAGTATCATATGCAGATTTTTTCTGCACAGGAATCTGCAACTTGTATAAAACTACATGAAATACACTGATGTAAACCGATATCTCTGCAAGAGAAATCTGCACATCAGTTTCAATCAGTTTTCATGTACATATAATGTGAATGAGCCCTAAGAATACTTTTTTTTTTTATTATTAAATTTCCAAAGTCAAGCCTTAAGGTCTTTTTTACCTGTCTGGTAGATAAAGGATACAATTAAAATCCTTCCTGCACAATTAGAAAACATATTATATGCAATGTAGGCCCATACCAGTAAGTGTAGACTTTCTGTTTTTCTAAGTATCCCCTGAAACATTATGTACATAATGGTTGATCCTGCCAATAAAAACAACTGAGGTTGACAACACTCTTCCTTCTGCAGTGAAATCACTACAATAGTGTGACCTTTGCTGGTGCTGTAGCTGCTTTGATATCAGTACATTGATAGCCCTATCAGTAAATAGCTCCACCCACAGTCCTTTGGATTGAAAGCACATTGCAAGAGTTTAGGAAATTATGTAGAAGCCCTGCTTAGTGCCCCCCATCCCCACTCCAACATTGTCTAGCAGGGTGCACATGAAATACAGCTTCACAACTGCATTTAACATTAAGAGAGGTAATTTATATTTCATTGAAGACAATAACATGCAAAATTGAACTGAAATACCTGTTTATGACTCTGAGAGGAAAAAACATTACCTGGACATTAACACAGCTTGCCACTTACATTTTTGTTGGTGTTATAAATTATACTGCAGTGTGAAGCAGTTCTCTGTCCAGATACAACTTCAGTATGGACAAAAAGCAAGTGCATTTTTCATGGGGCTCTAGCTTACCTGATAACTGGCGTTTAATCCTCCATAGCCCAGACCAGAAATCATGTTTTTCACAAGTGTTGGACTTCTGTATTATTTCAAGAAATGCAGGAAAAAAAAGAAAAATCTGGTTATAGATAATTGTAACAAACCACGCGTTTACTTGGAAAAGGAAAAAATATTTTTGTTCCAGGCAGTTATCTAAAATGTGTTACTAGCAAAAGTGATCAGGTAGGACAAAGTTTCTTAACATTTTTAGAGAAAAACAAAAGCAGTGGAGCTATGCTGCCACCTGCTGGAGATATTTGGTATTCCACCACCCTAGTTCACAGAGTACATGGAAATGCATTATTAGATTAAATTATGTAATATTTTGTATAGCTACTTACTTAACTACTTTACTGATTTGTTCTATTTTTATTTTGGGCAATGCAAAATAATTTTCTCTTTTTTTCCCTGTTAAGCAACCTTTACCTCATTTTTTTAACCTCATTTTTTTAAATTTTGTAAGGGGTGGACTGACAACTCATGGGGCCCGCGGGCAATAGGGGATCATGGGGCCCCTGTGTCCTTGCCCAAGCTCAAAAAAGTTGGTTGATTCTGACTTTGCTATAATCACAGGATAAGTCTTATTGTAAAAATAATCATTTCACCCTAGCCACCCCTTTAGATTTTTTATTGATCAAGTATTCTTAGTTCATTTGCACATAGTCATATAATATACATCAGGGGCGGACTGACAACTCATGGGGCCCCCGGGCAATAGGGGATCATGGGGCCCCTGTGTCCTTGCCCAAGCTCAAAAAAGCCTATGAAAAAGGTACCAGGGGCATCTCATGGGGCCCCCTACTGACCCAGGGCCCTCGGGCAGTGCCCGAGTTTCCAAGTGGTCAATTTACAGATCTGCAAAGGAAAGCTAAAGACTAAAAACATTTTCAGATAAGAGCTGGTGCTGAGCCACTGTGCTGAGATTCTGGGTCTTTTCACACTGTTCCTATGCTGGGAGATGGAGTCATAAACCTCCCACACTCAGCAACATATGTGGAATAAATACATCAAGGGACTAGCATGCTATGGCATCACTTATATTTGACCCAATGGAAAAACAGTGTTTTCTTGGATTTATGTTTGACTTAAACATGAAGGTAAAACATAAGGCTCACGGAGACTTAGTGCAGGCGCACAGTACACCTCCACTTGACTTTTCAAAGTTTAATTTACCATTTCCGTAATTTTTTTCAAGTTTCCATTTACCATTGCAAACAACTGGTTATGTAGCATATAAACAGCGTGAAGGCACTGCAGTTTTTTGATAAAGAGCATGAAAAAGTGAGGGTGATGCTTTGGTGTGAACTCAATTGGGTTTAGCCTTTCCGCAAACAACCTGTCATTTAAGTGCTGTGGATATCTCAGCTGAAAAACATACACTGGATACCTCCTTCTGGTCTCCAAGGGTAAGTAACCTTGAAAGGGGCTAAACAATATATAGGAAAACACACATTTTAAATAGAAAAAGAATTAGAGGTCACCTTGAAGTCATATGACCTGCAAACTCATTGTCATCAATCTCTTCTGTCATTTGTAAAAGTGAAAATCATATGACAAAAAGTATATACAATATGAGACAATCACGTACTCCTTCATTAGCCATAGGCTTTCATAATACCTAAATCTAATTACAGTTGTGCTCAAACATTTGCAGACCCTGGCAGAAATTGTGAAATGTTGGCATTTACACTCACCAGCCGCTTTATTAGGTACACCTGTTCAATTGCTTGGTAACAAAAATTACTAATCAGACAATCACATGGCAGCAACTCAATGCATTTAGGCATCTAGATGTGGTGAAGAGGATTGCTGAAGTTCATTTTTTGAGCATCAGAATGGGGAAGGAAGGGGCTTTAAGTGACTTTGAACATGGTATGGTTGTTGGTGCCAGATGGCTGGTCTGGATATTTTCAAAAAACTGCAGATCTAATGGGATTTTCACGCACAACCATCTCTAGGGTTTACAGAAAATGGTCTGGGAAAAAAGAGAAAATATACAGTGAGCAGCAACTGTGTGGATGAAAATGCCTTGTTGATGTCAGAGGAGAATGGGAAGACTGGTTGCTGCGACATTTATATGGCAGGGTTAGAATTTGGCATAAACAACATGAAAGCATGGATCCATCCTGCCTTGTATCAACGGTTCAGGCTGGTGGTGGTGTGGTGGTGTGGGGAATATTTTCTTGGCACTAATAAAGAGGCCGGTGAGCGTATATTGAAAATATGACTGCTCATGCCAAAAAACTGTCTTTGATTTAAGGATAGTAATCATATTAAGCCATTTATTATCACATAGTTGTTTGGCTCCTTTTCAAATCATAATGATAACAGAAATTACCCAAAAGACCCTAATCAAAAGTTTGCATACCCTGGAATGTTTGGCCTTGGTACAGAAAACACACGAGTTAAAATGGCAATTAAAGGTTTATTTCCCACATCTGTGGCTTTTTAAATTGCAATTATAGTCTGTGTATAAATAGTGAATGCGTTTTTTAGCTTTCCTGTGGATGCACTGGGCAGACTAAATACTGAGCCACTGAGCAGAAAAGAACTGTCAAAAGACCTGTGTAACAAGGTAATAGAACTTTATAAAGATGGAAAAGAATATAAATAGATATCCAAAGCCTTGAATCGGTTATTAAGAAGTGGAAATTTCGGGGATCTCTTGATACAAAGACAAGGTTAGGTAGACCAAGAAAGATTGCAGCCACAACTGCCAGAAGAATTGTTTGGGATACAAAGAAAATTCCACAGGTAACCTCAGGAGAAATACAGGCTGCTCTGGAAAAAGACGGTGTGTTGTTTCAAGGGGCACAACACAATGGTACTGATCAAAAATGAGCTGCATGGTCGAGTTGCCAGAAAGAAGCCAATGCCAAAAAAAACCGAGGTTACAATATGCCCAACAACACCATGACATGACTCACAGCTTCTGGCACACTGTAATCTGAAGTGACAAAATAGAGCTTTAAGGTACAATGATAAGCCCCATACTGTGAGGTGTCAAAAGTGCAAGAATACCATGTGAAGCATGGTAGTGGCTCATTGGCATTTTGGGGATGTGTGAGCTCTAAAAGGCACAGGGAATCTTTTCATTGCATTCTTTTGTACAAAAGCTGTGCATGGTATGCTCTTGGGATTTCCAGCATGACAATGACTCTAAGCATGAGACAAGTTGACTCTCCAGTAGTTACAGCAGAAAAAGGTGAAGATTTTGGAGTGTCCGTCACAGTCTCTGGACCTTAATATCATTGAGACACTCTTGGGGAGATCTCAAACGTGTGGTTCATGCAAGATGACCAAAAACTTTGCATGACCTGGAGGTAGTTTGCCATGAAGAATGGGCAGCTATACCACCTGCAAACATTTTGGGGCCAGATAGATAACTATTACAAAAGACTGCATGCTGTCATTGATGCTGAAGGCGGCAATACACAGTATTAAGAATTAAAGGTATGCAGACGTTTGAACAGGGGTCCTTTCATTTGTTTACTTGTTGCCATGTCTTGTTTTATGATTGTGCCATTCTGTTATGACTTACAGCTAAATATGAATCCCATAAGAAATAAAAGAAATGTGTTTCGCCTGCTCACTCATGTATTGTATATTACTATTTCTCCAAGGGTATGCACATTTTTCAGTACAACTGTATTTGTGTTATACTTCTCTTTCTCCCTAAATATACAGTAGACACTTACCTTACTTATTAGGTACACCTTGCTAGGGCCAAGAAAATATCCCCCACACCATTACGCCAGTACCAGCCTGAACCGTTGATACAAGGCAGGATGGATCCATGCTTTCATGTTGTTTATGCCAAATTCTGACCCTACTGTTGCCTTTCTATCATCTCGAACAAGTCTGCCCATTCTCCTCTGACATCAACAAGGAATTTGTGTTCACACAACTGTCACTCAATTGATATTTTCTCATTTTCGGATGATTCTCTGTAAACCCTAGAGATGCTTCTGCGTGCAAATCCCAGTAGATCAGAAGTTTTTGAAATACTCAAGACAAGCCAGTCTGGCAACAACAACCATGCCATGTTCAAGATCACTTAAATGTCCTTTCTTCCCTGATCTGATGCTCGCTTTGAACTTCAGCAAGTCATATTCACCACATCTAGATGCCTAAATGCATTGAGTTGCTGCCATGTGATTGGCTGATTAGCAATTTGTGTTACCAAGCAATTGAACAAGTGTACCTAATAATATGGCCAGTGAGTGTAAATCCACTGAATTAGTATTTCTTTGCTAACACGATATGGATTTATTTTTGCAAGAACCCACCCTGTCATCTTTGGCGGCCTCCTCTTTTGGTATTCCAGCTCATCCACTGTCCACACTGCTCCTTTCACGTTTTCCACACGCACAAAGCATTTATGCAAGCTCAGGTTGTGACGAACAGCATTCTGCAAGAAGGCAATTAAGATATTGAAAGAGAAGCACCATACATTATCCAAAAGACTTATATACATGCTACCATCACAGCTTGGCAGTCAAGCCCATCATTTCTTGTCATGTTTTAAGGATAGCAAATATATAATATTCTATTGCCCATTTACTTATAATATGCTGATAATTAAACCCGGTATATTTTCTCATGAGCCAAAGCTTATACCATCTCTGATTAGCAAGGAGTTAATAGAGAGGCACAAATTGCAACATGTGCATATTATGGCCCTTTTCTGACACTCCCACACACAAATATGACCCCAATTTCAAAGCAGCAGCCCTTTCTCTAGTTGGAAGCCCTGGCTGGAGATGAGAGACTAATTCGTTAGGTTAAAACATTAACAGCAATTTGAGAGGTCAGTTGGGGGTCAGGCAAGCAGAGCTGAGACAGATGGGCAGGAGGGGGTATACAAAGAAAATGAGAAACAGAAGCAAAGGAAAGCAAAGAGGGATAAAGACAATAAATAACTTATTCATGAGATAAAAAATAACACATATATACAAGTCATTTATAAAGACAAAACTAGCTAAATTAATAATCATCCATTAAAACATACAATATAAGCAATAAGTCAAAAAACAGGTGTGATTTTTTTTTACATAAGCAATCAAAAATTAAAGGAAATATATGATTGGTTTTTAAGTAGGACACAGACACATGCAAAAAAAATTAGTTATAAAAATATCTTTAGCAGAGAACTGATTGAAATAACATAAACAATGCATTATCTTAATCGTACAGTACAGGACACAGGCATAGAAGTCATAGACCATGGATTTTATGTAGCTACTTTCAGGTGACTGGGCAGCAACAAAAGTTGCTGGGAATGCCCCCAGTGCACCCTCATATAACCCCACCCACTCCATTGGACCCCAGTTTCTGCTAGTGTTTCTTTTTTTATTTTCCTTCACTATATCTACTAACACTTCTATCAAGATCCAACTGCTTATTGTCTCAGGGACCACTAGCAGATTCAGGATCGGTTACCTTTGATGCATATCTTGGGAACATACCTGGAACCAGCAGCAGCGGGGTCATCCTTTAATGTTTGTTTGGGGCACTGGAGCCTGCATTTGGCGCTCATCTTGGCATGTGGTGCAATGAGTGTAGTTAGCTACAGGATGCCATAGAGGTACAGGGCTGTGGTCCACTTATATGGCATCCAGACCCTATGCCCACAGAGACAGGTGAAGTTTGGTCCCCACTAGAAACATGCATCTTGGATAAGGTAAGACAGGCTTTCCCTGTATTTGTGAAAGGGTTATGTTTTTACATGTAGGGTGTTATTCAGCTTATTGTGTCTGTAAATGTTTCTACTACATTGGCAGTAGGTAACTTTATTATAACTATAAATATTTTCTTAAATTTGGCATTTTTTTTCACACAGCACTGATGCTTTGGCAGTTTCCCTATGCCTTCCAGCTTCCGTTAAGACGCAAAAAGCACAACAGTTGGTCTCCCAGCTACTTGCTGTTCTAGAGCCGCAGGGCATCGGTCAACTCCTGGGCTACTGCAGCTCCTTTCCCAAACCCTCATACCCTCTCATCCACATTCATTTTGTGAATAATCCACAGGGGATCCCCTAATTTAAGCAATGCCAGAGATGAGGCACAGAGGTGCTGAAAAAAAAAAGCCTAATAGCCACCACTGGTGAATGAAGCTATATCCATTTGTCAGATCCTTGCTAACTGGACTGCCCAAATGAATAGAGAGAACAATCCTGTTTTTGAGGACCCTGTTCTGCTATAACAATTGGCAAACAAATTTGGCACTTCTATTTTGTGTTGATGACTTAGACCAGTGGTCTCCAAACTGCGGCCCTTGGGCTGGATGTGGCCCTTTGCCTGCCTTTATCTGCCCCTTGAGGCATTATTCCTGCCAATGATACCAACAATGGGGCATTATTCCTCCCACTGACACCAACTATTTCTCCACCTAATAACATTGTTCACTTCCACTGGGCATAGTCCAGCCCCCCTAAAGTTTGAAGGACAGTAAACTGGCCCTTTCTTTAGAAAGTTTGGAGACCCCTGCTCTAGAGAATGTACTTCTCCAGGTCTCTAGGATGGTGCTGCTTTTTGTGCATAAGTGATGATGAAAGCCTGTTTGGTGAATCCCTTTATAAAACTACCAAGAACGTCACTGAAGGAAAGTACTTTTACCCCCATAAAACAGTCTGAGCCTACTACTAGTAAGGCTACTACCACAGAAAGGGGTTCGTTCGCTCCACTCAACTTTTTTGCACTTGTGCCAGTCTGTATCAGATATGTTCTGAATCTTTGGGTTCAATTTGTCATTTTCAGGGGCTACAATACAGAATTGCCCCCTACTTGATCCCTACCCTCCAATCTGCCAGCTTTACCTCCATGACAGGCAGATTTTTGGACCATCCTGAGTCAACTTCAGACACACGTAGTGGTAAACCCATTTCCTACAAAGGAAGGTCCAAAGGGTTTTACTCAAACCTAGTCACAGTTCCAAAACCAAATGGAGGCATTTGCCCCAGATACAGATATCTGCATGTTCCTAAATTCCACATGCAGCCTGTAAGATTTGTCATTGCTTCTCTCAGATCAGGAGAATTTCTGGCATCAGTGAACACCCAAAATTCCTAGCTTCAAATTTCCATCTTTCCCACATACCAAACACTTTCTACTCTTTGGTGCTGGAGACCAACACTTTCAGTTTGTGGTCCTGCCATTCAGACTCTCCTCTGCATCAAGTCTTCACATATGTGCTCCTGGTCCTGCTAAAATTTCAGGGCATCCAATGTCACGAGGTACCTGTATGACCTTCTGCTGAAAGATTCCTCAGCCACAGTTCTGTCTTCCAACATCCATAAGACAATCCAGTATTTTCAAACTTTTGGATGGCTGATCAACTTCACAACTGCTTTCCTGCTTTCCCTTGAGTATATGGGATTGATCTTGAATACAGCCCAGCCCAAAATCTTCCTTCGACAAGAAATGATTGCTTCTCTGATATCCAATTGTTGGACCACTATCCATGCATCCCTCAACTCACTTCTGCATGGGGGTTCTGGACCTTATAGTGGCCTACTTGGAGGCGGTTCTTTCTGCTCAGTTCCACTCAAGACCTTTGCAGCTCCATCTTCTCACAATGTGGGACAAGCAGATCCTTTTGTTCCCGGACATACTGATGCGATTTGGGAATTGAAATTGCACCTGAAATTGCATCTAATGAATTTCAGTGTCTAACATTTGCAATTTGCTGTAGCGTGATTTCCAAAGTAGTTCTTGCATTGTTTTTTCTGCAGTTTTGTTGCGATTTCACATACATAGAATACAATGCAAATCGCAAGAAATCATTCAAAATATTCACAAGTAGCAATAAAGTCTTCAGAAATCGCTCCTGAAGTTGCGCTGAAATTGCACACAAATCCCGTGATTTTAAATCACAGCGGTGTGACCAGTGACTTATCTGGATTGCCAACTACTGCAGTCTAGTCAGGCAACAATCTCCTTGGCATGGTGGATTTCCATTTCACACCTTCGAGTCCAGCAAATTGTTCCATCCTTGACCCTAGAAGTTGCTAATGATGAACACAAGCTTCATGGGCAAGGAGAGGGTCTACAGATCACTGACTGTCTAGGAAACCTGGTGCCTAAAGGAGTCAATGCTCCCACCATTCTCACATCGCTTGCTGCCATTAATTACCGTTTTTAGGATGGAACATGTGACATGTTCCCAATGCTGCAGCCACTGCCTGGTTCCCCCCCCCCCCCCACACACACAAACACACCGCCTGTGACAGCAGGGCTCCACCCTCATGGCTGCGTCATTCATTCAAAGTGTCCTGTGAATGAATGAACTACAAGTCCTGACAGCCTTAGTGGCTTATTATTGGCTTGTAGTTCTCAATGAACTACCATGACACTGTGGAGTGCTGTGGTAGATCAATGAATCTTCCTCTCAGTATGTCTGCTTTCCCGTACATCCTGTATAGGCAAGCAGACATACTGACAGGTCTGCAGAAGTACATGGCACCAGCAAACTGCTGATCACTGATGCAATGCTTTACAGGCTCAAGCAACAAAACAAAAAAATAAATGCACACTTTTTTACCTGCAGGAAAATGTGCATTTATTATTTTTGGTCAAAAGGTGAACTTATCCTTTAAAATGGTATATTGCTTCAGTTTAAACATTTGATATGTTTTAAATGTATTATTGTGAATAAAATAAGGGTTTATGAGATTTGCAAATGATTGCATTCTGTTTTACTGTAGATTTTAAACAGCATTCCAACTTTTATGGAAATGGGGTTGTATTATGAACAAAAGCTGTCCCACTGCTTTGTCTGTTTGCCTACTACAACTACTACTACATAGACCAGTGCAACATTCATATTCAAATTCTATTTTCTTTACCCAAGCAGTTATATTTTTATGATGATAACCAATAAAGTAATGAGACCTACAGTATGTGCAATTTATAGTGCTTTAAACACGCTACTCTGTAGCATCATACACTTTGTAATTATTGTAGAACTCTGAGTAAACCTTTGCTGGATTAAATGATGATTAAGTTCCCAGTAGAAGCTTTTCATCCATAAACATTTAACAGTAGTGAAAGAGAGTGTGAAAAGACTGCACTCAAGTATAATACAAAGGATCCAACTTACTTTCCATGTGGCTGTGTTTCTTCTAAAATAGGCAAACATGCGAGTAAACCAATTGTAGATCTCATTTAAAGTCAGTTGTCTGTCTGGTGTGTCTAGAATAGCCTGTAGGGAACATCAGAGATTAGTTAAAAATTAATAATAATATGATACCAATATATGCTATGTGCCACTCTTTCATTTCTTTCTTATCTCAAAGCTCTTACCTGTCGTATGAGTGAGGCATATGTAAACGGTGGACGGACTTCTGCATTTTTATAAAATTCATGATTCTGTGCAAGCTCTATGACAGAACACAGAAAATCAAGAACATAACAATATTAATGGCATAGACACAAATGGCAAATGTTTAATAAACTCTATAATGTCAGAAAACAAAACTTTGTGCACATAGTTTTAATATATCATGTGATAAATACATCATAAAACTTGTAAATAGACTTCCAAGTGCCAGAAAAAGTTTTTTTAAAAACCCCCACAAAGTGTATTACGTGGTGAATTTAATGGCAAATTTGACCATAGACATACACAATAAAAACCATATGCTGCATAATCTCAACAGTGTTCCCAAAGAGATACATAAAAACGTGTTTATTAATAATAATAATAATAATAACCATAATAAGTAAAATTAATTAAAGCAAATTACAGCCCACGAGGCCTGTTTCTAAAAACGTTGGTATACTGATGGTTGTAAGCAATTTCTGTGTGCAGCATTGGGAGCCCATTTATTAGCTGTGTTTCTCCATATATAAAAAAGATCAAACAGCTAACTGACAAACTGGAAAAACAGCAAAACAAAATGCTATATTTTGGAAACCTCCATGTTTCCATAACATCCTTCTATTAAATAAAAGTCCAAAGTGTGGTTAACTTGCTCACATTATAAAGATAATAGATCTCAATAAAAACAGAGGGGAAAGTAGATGAATTGTCCTTAACGACTCACAATATAATCTCACCTAGAAAAAAAATGATATTTTGACATTTTCCTTTTTCAGTATTTATGTGTGGGCCCAGCCTTTCCTACATGAAAGGATATGATTTAAGCTTAGGAGAAAGCAAACATGCTTTACACAACAGTAAAGAACTGTGAAGAAGTGAAAAATAAAATGTGCACTATTTTTTTTAATAGTGTACATCTTAAAGCTGAACTATGGGCAAAATAAAACATCCAATTCATGCAGTTTCATTTACAATGTCATTAAGTGTACTTTTAAAAAAAAAACTATTATCTCAGTCTGACTTGATATTCACCTCTTGTAGTCCTCTGTACAACACAGCTTAGACTTCTAGAGGGAGAAACAGCAAATGAGCTGTGCTGCAAAACCCATGTGCGTTAGCATAATGGCAGGAGCAGAGTGACAGAGAAATTTACTCATCATTGCTTCTCCGTCACAGTCCATTCACAAACTGGGGGCAGGGATGATACCCAATTGTAATACTTAACTGCAGGCTGGTTGTGCGGTCTTGCAGGGCTGTGCAACTATCAAGAATGAAATATAAATATTTCACTGGTGTATTTAGCTGCTTGCTTGGAGTTGGTCTTTAAATCAAAAACTGTATATAAGTATTATACTGTAATTTAAACCATCTATTTTTCTAGTGTTAGGCCTTATGCGCACAGCAAAACCCAGCTTTTACAGGCATTTTTTACAAGTTTTTCAGTCTCTAAACGCATCTCTATGATAGCCTATGTAGTCATGCACACATAGGCGTTTACAGGCATATTAGAAGAGGAGCATTTAGAGGTTGAAAAAAGGAACACCACCAGTGTTTGAGCAGAAAAAAATGCTGAACGCGTGCAACTGGCCTAAAGGCTAAGTGCATTTAGCACTTGGGCATTTATTCATTTCAGTGGCCAGAAATAAATGTATATTCTGACCAATGAATGATAGCCCAAATGCTCCTAAACGTGTTTGCAAAACATGGCTTCAGGCATGTTTTATAAGCTTACAAATCCTGTGTGCATGAGGCCTTAAAGTGGAACTGCAACCAATTTTTATATAAGGGTTTTTGACACAGTAGGGATGATTTAAGAATCGTTGCAAGATTTTTTGTTATCTGAGTCCTTGAAGATTTGTGTAGCCCTGACTTTCTGTCTAGGCCACAGTTCACAGATACTGTATATGTTTGTATCTAAATCAAAGAGTGAGGAGATGCGCTAAAGCTTACAAATGCCACTGCAACAAAAAAAAAAAAATCTCCCGAAAGCGGAAGCTTCTCCACTGACAACTGTCAAAGGCAATGTTTCCTTTCTCTTTTTGGAGATTTCTGTGAGAATATCTCTCTAATAGAAATACAGACAAAAATTAAACTTCATAGAAGATCTCAATCTTTCCTATTCTATCCAAAACAAAAGCTTATTTGGAGTTACTTTTTAAGTAAATGTAAGAAAACTGAAAATATTCAACTTTGACTAAAAAGACAACGAAGAATAAGGGCTTAGTAGTGTTCACCTGAAGAAATTGGCGTACAGAATTTGTCCACTATCCTTCTTCGCACAGGACCAATGCTAGGTAGGCTTGAAGAGCTAATCACAGATGTGCCAGCTCTCACTGGAGTGATGGGTGCTGTTGCTGATGTTGGGGGTTGTGGCAAGCCATCTGGGTAGGTGTCTGGGGACATTTTGTTGAGAGAAGCACTGGAAACCAGGTTAAGCTGAGGATAATGAAACGACAAAGGAAATATATGAACATCCAGTGTGGGCACATTTGAGAAGAAGATATGAAAAACAGACAAGGTCTTTGATGACTCACTGGTTGACTGAAGGGTTTTGGTTCGGACGGTCTCATATGTAGATGTGTCATCATTGCTTGCAGTCTTTCACTTTCTTTTGCCAGCTAGAACATAAACCTTTTGTTAGCCCAATTCAGTTAATAATGCATAGAGACAAATAAGAATTCCAAAAAAAATAATGAATGCTGCAACTTGGTTATATTTGATTTTTAACACAAAAGGTTGCTCACACTCTCTAGATGCTTACACACAACAAAGTATCCACGGTCTCATAGCTGTAATTTTAACATGTTTTGACAGCAAATGGACTGTTTTTGAGAACATACATACAAATGAGAACATTTTGGACAACCTGATTTTGTTAATTTGGCTTTCACCCAAATTTTTGTAGGTAATTCCCATTTAATTTTGGTTGGTAGCACTGCAAGCAGGAAATAAAAAGCAACCAACAACCAACCTAAAATATCAGGCAACCTTTTAATGGCAATGACGTAAGGCACACGACACAACAGAACTGCTACCAGCTGACCAGGTCAGTATGCCTTATGCAGAAGCTTTTCCCCTTCTGCTTTGAGCTCAAGGTTGCTCCATTAAACAATAACTAATCAAAGCTATTCATTAAAAATGTGACCCCCCCCCTATTACTCCACTGCCCACACTACACTATGTGTTACGTCTGCTGTCTTCTGCATGCTATGTGCCTATGTGAATGCTTCTCTTCCCTTGCTTACCTCCACTTCTCTGATCCCCTTTCCCCATAGCTCCATGCTTCTATTTCTCTCCCCCTCTGCTCCCAATCAGCAGCTGCAGGCACACAATAGGAGGATAGATGTGCAAGATAGAAAGCAGGACATGGGGAGGAAGGGCAGTTTCTCATGCTTGCCAACTTTGACATCAGTAGTGATCACTCCCATTTTCATTTATATTTGAAGTATAGTAAACATCAGTTTGTGAATGAACAGGAAGCCTCTCTACAGATCACTTCCTGTTCATTAACGGAGTTCAGCTGCAGCTGCAAAGGGGAAAGTGATTGAGGACTTTGCATTATTAATCCCTTTCTCAAAAAGTGAAAGACCAAGTGTCTTTTCAGACCTTTCCTACTCCTGGAAAGTCCTCTTTCCCAAACAAGACTGTATGAAAAAAAAAAAAATTCTAAAAAGAATTAAAAATTAAAAATGTAAAAAGTAAAAAAACAAAAATGATATAAGCAGAAATAAAGCCCCATTCACATGCAGAACGTATTTCTGCACGTGAGAGTCACATGTGTTTGCCTGTAAAAATCAATTGCAGGCATACACCATGACTGTATTCATGTAACCGTGTCTTGGACCGTGTCTGGGATGCAAACTGGGACTCTCAGGTGCAGAGCTGCATTCCTTCCTGATGCTGTACAGGAACTATCACAGGACCTATGAAATCAGCAGCACCATCCTTTTTTTAATTCTACCATATCAGAAAATGTACAGTCAGGGTGGTCTTTTACAAACTCTAAAAGCTGCAATAGTACTCTGTTACATGTTACGCCCTAAATACAGGTATAACATGTTACAAAAGATAAACCTATCCTTTCACACAAAACATTGTCAAAAAAGTTACATTTGCTCCATTTTTTTTTTGTATTGTCTAAAAACACCTTTCAAAATTCACCAAAAAACATCCCAAAAAAATTGTTTAGAAAAAGAATTCAAACCCCTTAAAAACCACCCCCGCTTTTTAGTATATTTTACTGCAATGAGTTAAGAAACACCAAACAACCGTAAAATACACTAAAAAAGGAAAAAAATACAAACAAAAACTCACTTTCATTGTTTAGATGCTATTTTTTCCCCTAAAGTCTAAAATGCCACAGATAACAACACATTACAACAACAAAATAAACAAAAGAAAAATCTGAACATAAATGGAATACACTTAGAAACTACTGAAGGTATCTTAAAGCCTTAGAAAAAACCTTAATCACCATAATTTCATGTTTTTTTCCCTTAATGCCAATACTTTTTACCTATAGGCAAAATTTATTGGAAAATGGTTAATTTCACTTATCCTTAGTCTTCAGATTGCAGAATCCACTGTATATGTGTTTGACAGCTCTGAAACTGTGTTTGGTTGGGTATCAAATGGAGGAGTACAGGGATGATTTGTCCTACAGAGAGTTCCTTAGCTGATGGTGGTATGGTGTCAGTAAGACTAATTTAGGTCTCGGGCTGCTGCCGCTCTAGAAGCTCTTGTTTGTGCTGAAGACTGCTCTGGACTGACTAGATCAGTCACTGGTCATAGGTGGGTGGTTTCGTGGGTGGGTAGGGTGATGTCCCTCCAGTTGCACCCAATGGTGGATATTGGCAGTAAACCCTCTTAGGGTTTGGGCTGCTGCCTTTCTGGTACAGCCTTGAGGTCATTTCCACATGTATACTTGGAATAGTAGAAAAGAAGGAACACCCGATGTCCGAAAAAATGCACTTTTGATGGTAGATTATGAGGCAGTTATTGAGAGAAACAAGTACAACATGCTAACGCGTTTCGGGAGCAAAGACTCCCTTTTTCAGGGCTGTTGCTGCACCCTAATAAATGGGAAAAATTCCCACGTCATTTATATATTTTCCATGTATCAGAGGAAAAAATTACAGCTGTCATTTCAGGGGCAGCAAAACCTCTCAAGAAGCGACTGAGAGGTTCGGGAGGATGATCAAGAACAGGTTTAGGCATACTAGAGAAACATAATAGACAAACAAGAAAAACACCTCCTGCACTCAAGAACAATACGCTGACACCATGGAACTGTTGAATGGCCTATGAGTGGGTCAAAGATGGCACTGGCTGTCCTGCCCTCCGACAGGTCAGGGGAAACCAGAGATGCAACTATAAAAACATAAAAAACAGAAGGCGCACCCGCCTGGCGCATTACCTCAATATTGACTTTATTGGAATGAAAAGTAGATGTGTACCCACAAAGGACATGAAATAAATGGCATGTCAATCAGACAATACATGGAAGCGACCTCATCCCCTGGACAAGTTCTTTTGGGAATAGATGATCCAAACGGTTGATGTTTCAAGGGGCGATCCCCTCTTCCTCAGAGCCAATCCAGAATGCCATTCAACTCAAGCATTTATAAAGGGTTTGATAGGGTCACATGGTGCCTGATGTCAGCCCCTCCCACCAGTAGGTGGGCCATAGACCAGTGTAAATAAATAAAGGTACAATAAAAACATGCACAATAAAACAAATGATAATAGAGATTTCATACAGGACACTTGTCAGATATTATTTCGGAGACACCTACGTAATATTCAGATGTTAATAATATACCAATAATGTGTAATATTTCACGACACACAAACACTATTTTGCTATGTGTAGAGTCCAAATATAATAGTAACAACACAAGAGAAGGAAGGGGTCATAAAAATGTTCACTATTGTGGGTTAAATAGAAAATAACATAATATATTATACTTTTTCATTCATCCTAACATACCCTTCTGTTCGTAATTTTCCTGGAGTACGGGGGGTATGCCGATCATGTTGGCCTAAATGTCCCTTAAGAGTGGAACGCTGTCAGCATTCGGTTACAAATGGCGAAACCATAATGGCAGTGGAGATATATAATATCCGATGAATGGAACTGCACCAAGTCTGCGGTCAAGCCACCATTCATACGCGTCACTTCCGGTAATTCATGATGACGAAACTGGAAGTGCGTAACCATAGGTGCATTCCAACTGTGCATTGCAAGGGGTTGCACAGTTCATGGCTCATCTAGTTGTATTATTTAAAGTGATTAGGTGATATTAATGTGATTTCAATCTGGGAAAGTTCACTGACTGACATACTGACAGCGATCCACTCTTAAGGGACATTTAGGCCAACATGATCGGCATCCCCCCCCCGTACCCTAGGAGAATTACCAACAGAAGGGTATGTTAGGATGAATGAAAGAATATAATATACTGTTATTTTCGATTTAACCCACAATAGTGAACTTTTTCATGACCCCTCTCTTCTCTTGTGTTGTTACTATTATATTGGGATCCTACACAGGGCAAAAGAGTGTTTGTGTGTCATGGAATATTACACATTATTGGTAAATTATTAACATCTGAATATTACGTGGGTGTCTCCGAAATAATATCTGTAAAGTGTTCTGTATGAAATATCTATTATCATTTGTATTATTATGCATTTTTTAATGTACCTTTATTTATTTACACTGGTCTATGGCCCACCAACTGGTGGGAGGGGCTGACATCAGGCACCATGTGACCTTATCAAGCCCTTTATAAATGTTTGAGTTGAGTGCCATTCTGGATTGGCTCTGAGGAAGAGGGGATCGCCCCTTGAAACGTCAGCCGTTTGGATCATCTATTCCCAAAAGGACTTGTCCAGGAAATTAGGTCACTTCCATGTATTATCTGATTGACATGCCATTTATTTCATGTCCTTTGTGAGTACACATCTACTTTTTAATCCAATAAAGTCAATATTGAGGTAATGCACTAGGCAGGTTTAGAGGCATGCCTGGTGTAGAAGTAAGTCACAACTGAGGTTAGATGCATGAAGAACTGACTAGCCTATAGAACTATTTTCACAAATGCATGACACCATAGTTAGCATATGTCACAAGGTATTATTCATTCACCTGTATTTCCAGTTGTTGCACCACCTGCATCTGTACTCGACACTGTGCTGTGCTACGGTCATCCAATGCATGTTCTGTATTCAGATGCCTGCACAGTTCACAAAAATAAATGAGTAAATACTGTAAATCAGTGGTTCCACTTATAACAAAAACATCATTATACCTAACATTGCCAGAACTTGGCCAGTCACATGAATGCCTATTCTGGATTTTCCTTATACTTCTAAAAAAAAACAACAGCTCAATGAATTTGTGGGTATCCTGGTAGGGGGCACTAATCAAAAGTTGCAGACAAATAGTGCAAAACCCTTTGAAGAAAATGTGGGGCATGTAGTAAACTACAGGCAAACAGGCTGCTCACTTTGCAAATGAATTTTCTTTAGGTTAGTGAATGAGGTGAAGATTTGCTAACTTCCATCTTCTAATCATGTGGATACAAAAATAATGTTTTCTATAACTTTCCTTGCATGTGACTGGATATGCTTTATGAATTTTTGAGACATCCCTTAGAAAAAAAAAAATCCTTTGCAAAGTTAGTATTCCCTTGCAAAGTGAATTGCCTTTTGCCTTTGGTATATCAACCCCAGTGTCTCTAAAAAAAAAAAAACATGCAGAAAAAAACAGAAACATTGGAATTGCTTTCTTGCAGTATATTTCCTTACCACATTTTTTTCATTATTGTTTATTCAATGTGCCTTTATGACTATATAGTTACCTAGCACAGCCCTCTGCTCTTCTGGGAGTATCTAATTACTCTTTATGTTGGCTCACCACCTCCACTCTACCCTTCATCTCCATACATAACCTGTTAGCCATTTGAATGACAGCTCTGAGTCTGCTGGAGCTGTAGGCATTGCATCCAAGATGGCAACATATAGCACAGGCCTTAGGGCTTTTGGATGTCCACAAAAAAAGGCTTTATGGGACAAAAACCAATATGATTATGTTTAATGCAACTAAAATATTCTGGGAAGATTTTTGTTGATAAGTAGGTATAGTGACAGGGTCTCATTAATATTTAAGATTGGTGGTGTATAGTGTACACAAGAAGGAAACTAGGTTGCCATCCAGGCAAACTTAGCAAAACATCCAATAAAATGTAGAACAAACAAATCAAAAAATTAGAATTGGTGGCGTCACATCAAAAAATGTACCATTATCTATATAAAGATGTAATGGTCCAGCCACTGTCCTAGCACTGTTTGCTGTATGATTGTTCATCAGGCACTTTATTTGGTACAATTGGGTTTGAGGATTAATTTTTATTTGTTCACAAGGACTAAAAATCCTGAATCTACATTTATGAATGTATTAAGCAGAGTATACCTGGGAAGATTTTTCCATTCAAGCAGTGGGTTGTAAAAAACCCACAAAAACAGACAGATCTCCATATCCACACTAGCAATGTGGATACATGGATCTCCCCCACCACACTATTGTATTCTCACAGTGAGGACTCTCCCCTGCCAGAATGCACTGATCAGCTGCTGCAGCCCCTTGCTGCAAATGCTGATCAAAGCTGGTTTTCCAGCAGGACCATTAGACAGAAGCCGGTATAATGACCGGTTTCTTTTGAATAGACAAGGGTGCACATGTAATGAAATTTGGCACGTGTATATCCAGCTTTATTCTTCAAATATCCTTTAAGACAAGCAAAGGGAGCAAATGGGTAAACATCAGCAAAATCTAAGCAGAGGCAAGCCTGGAATTAAAACACCACTTTTGTGGGCTACTCATTTTAAATGTGCATTTAATTCCCAAAACAGAGGATATCAACTGCCATTATCCCACCATGTAGAGGTCTGATAGTAACTCTACAAATAAACACACTTTTTTATTTTGGGTTTCAGCTACTGCAACAATGGAAAGATATTGGCAAAAGGTAAATATGCAAGTACTTTGCTCTATTCTAGTGTTATAGGCAAAGAGTGAAGGTGATGGAATATCAAATACATTTTTAAAGCAGACACTGGAGCCCAAAAATAAGATGCAAAAGGCAATATGTGAAGTTGAATACAGTATTAGCAACGTATATACAACTACTGAGGATTAAAAGTATTCAATCTAATGCATTCATTGTGGTTCTTGGCACTATATTAGTGTATGAGACCTCAGTTTCACATGTGCTCAGACACATACCTAAAATCTACCTCTGAAGCAAGCATATTGTGCTGAAACACATTACCAGTTGCAGAACATACCAGTATTTTGAAATCATATTAGCCATTCTTGCTTGAATTATCAAGTTAAGGACATAGTCCTGAGTCCAGTCAAGACACCAGAGCTTTCTGAGAATATGTTTGCTGTAGTTACTGTTCTGTACCCTCCTCCTCACAGTGGTGAATTTTTGATACTGGCATTGAACATTAAAGAATAAGTCTTGGTAGTTGCCATGTCTAATCCAGAAAGGATCTTTTTTTACACATAAAATCAATGTAAAGTACTCTTTGATGATGCATGATGCTGATTGTGCATTTACAAGGAATATTTTGGAGTTTAGCCAGTTTGGTAAAGGGGATGCATTTGCCACTTTGTTTTATGAGAACGATGAAAATTTCCCAGCCTATACTCTGCTTCTGTAACTCATTAGTTTTCAGGCACCTAGAGAGAGTGGACTATGATTTGCTTTATTTTAATTTAATAAGGTTCACACCCGGTAAATGCCTACAACACAGATACTGTGTTCAAGCTAACATGTCGTGTTTTGACTTCAAAAACTGAGGTGGAGAGCAAATGCAATTTTAGGCAGACTGGATCTTTCTCTGCCTCTTGACCATGTTAACCCTTAATCTCCGTGTGTGAGGCCCAGGTCTGCTGTGAAGTATGATGGGCACAGAATGATAAATGCATGGATATATATGATGCCTGGAAGGGTACAACACATTGGGAGATAAGCTTCTGTACATGTGTATCCAAATGACATCCACGTTTTAAATAAAAGGATGTAGCATCAGTTTTCATTTTACCTGCTGTACCATTCAAACATATCCTAGTTATTGCAAATTCCATTTAAGGACAAAAGTTGACTATAAAGAAAATTAATACATATTTTATAAAAACACTACACAAGACAAGAATAACACAATTATTTTGCCCCCAAAATGCCATGTGTCATGTTCAACCTACAGATTTACAATTTATAGCTCTGAATGTGAGGCTAATGCAAACCTATGCACACAAAATAATCTGAAGCAATGGATTGGCCCTTCCAGCCCAATTAAGTATTCCCTTTATCTGCATGGAGAAACACTCTCTAAAGTAGCTGATAAGCTTGTTACTATGATGTATGGAACACAAGAATGAGTACATTGAGTCAACAGCTGTAGTTTTAAAGCATATCTAAACCCAAAAACTACCTGTCCCTTGGTGCCTACACTTATTTCTCCATTGTTTCTATGGGGGCAATCATGGCTATCACATACTGTATGTAGGCTTGATATGAAACATATCTGTCTTTGTTCATCTCTGTTACACAATGATATTTTTTTCTTTTCAGCTCAAAGAAAGTGACAAGAGCAACACACATGTGGTAAGATCAACATCTATTTTCTTCACTTGCTGAAAATGTTCTTAAGCTGAAAAAAGAAATCTAATACAGCCACCACATCTATGGATGAGTAAACTGCAATAAATACAATTTATGTTTCTGGCCATAAAAACACTTTTAAGAGAAATTCACCTTGACAGGGAATTGTGAATTGCTTTTTGTGCAATATTTGCTGCGTACCTATTAATAATATATAAGAAACATAAATACAATTTTAAATCTATTTTTCAAAGTACAGTGTGGAAAATGGCAGTAAAAAAGATCCTTGTAGTTCTCTTTAATTAATCAATGGCAGTTAGGATGAAATATTCATTGTTCATAGATGCTCCTTAGATGTTCCCCTCAAGACAACTAATAGACGTGTCTACCATACCCTGGAGAAAACACACTGGTAGAATATCGTCCCATGGACATGCAACACAGTGAAATTCTGAGGGTCCAAGGCATGGCAAAAGGAAGTCTTCACTTCTCACATGACCACTAAATGTGAAGATGTGAAGTGTATTTTGTTGATCTATTTTTAAAGAAAGCACTGGCTCTTGGGGGTAGGCTTGCTGACAACAGTCATGTTTTGCAGCAATCCCAGAGAGGACCAAAAAAAAACCACACAAATTCTCCACTTAACCATTTTTAATAATACATATAATATAATTCTTATCTTCTATAAACACGGGACAACACAAATACATGGCTGGTACTAACTTTATAAACTGTCCCATATCCTCACACAGAGCTTCACAGCCAGGCCATCGACATTCACCATGTCCATAAAGAGGGTGCGAGTTGGGAGGCATCTCAAAATGTGAACTTTAAAAAAAAACAAGCATAAGTAAACTTTATGTGAAATAAATAGATAATAAATAAATAAATAAAATACATAAAACAAAACTCATACATGGCCTCAATCCTAAGATTACAGATAATGAAGAAGTTCAAACCTAAATTAAGGAAATCTGCTTGAAAAAACAATTCTATAAAATCATTTTAGATATACAGGTATAAAATATTGATTTCTACATATAGATTGTAAGCTATATTCTATCTCAGCAATTAGGCTCAGTTCACACTACTGTGACCTGAAAGTCGTAGGACTTACAGTGCAACTTTACCTGGCAACTTCCTGGCAATTTACTGGCCACTTGAGTATGACTTGATACACAACTTTGCCATGTGATTTTGCTTTTTTTTTTATATTACCAATTCGAAAATATATATATATATATTTTTTTTTTTTAAATTTTGTTTTATGTTGTGAATTTCTAACGAAATCCTAATTTTCAGAACAAATGGAATTCGAATCGGTTGAAAATTGATCGACCGACCTGAATTCTGTGTAGAGAATAGCTGGTTGTTAAGGAGAGGGCTGGGAAGCTGGCTACCGTGTCCTTAACAACCAATGACTCATCAGCTCTCAGTGGTTTCCCAGGGCATGCTGGGTCGGTGATGTCACAAGGGGGCAGCTATTTAAGAACTGTCAGATGGCGGGGATCTCAGACAGCGGGAGCCAGCATCGGGAGCAGGCGCTTGTTTTTTATTTTCCGGGTCGGCAGTGTGAATCAAACCTAAAGCAAGGACCTTAGTCACTGGAATAAAATGTACAGCATGCAGTTATGGATTATCCACAAATCTTTCAATGTAACAACAAAAATACATAACAGAAAGGATTTAAAACAAACACTGCAATAATAGCAATAATGAGGATATGCTCACTTCAAATACACCACATCTTCCCTTTCCTCTGGTGTGCCACCAAATCACTTTTGCCAAACCACAAGGCACCATGCTATGATAGCAGCCATGCAAGTCCACCACAAATTTTGTCAGAGAGAAAAAAGTCAAATTGCTGCTAACTCAAAAGAAAATGTCAAGTAAGAAAAAGTATGCCTCACTGACAAAAGCCTTGCCTAGAAGAAGGGAAAATGCAAGAATTTGTTTTTCTTCTTTACAAAATATTTACAATATTCAGAAATTAAACTATAGTTAAGCTGCAATAATTTACTACCATGTATAAGTAGAGGATTATTTATTCAACATTTTCAAGATTTGGAGCTTTACAAATAAGTATTTCCATCATTTGGAGAGCTGAATCTTTCAAATGAATCTTTCAAAACACAATTCATGCTTTTTATTTAAATGCTATTTGCCGAAAACCAAAAATAGTCCAGGATTTCTAGATTGCTGGTTTCCAGAGTAAATATAAGAGACCTTATATTTACAATTGCTAACAGCAGACCCGGGAAAAACCAGCAATAAGAAGAAAAGTTAGCATTTTTTCAACAATTTAAAAGTTAATATTCACCTGTCCCGCCGTGCGGTTTGCAGAGCACTTTGCCCATTTGGTAAAGACATGTGAACTGTTGGAGGTGACACCTTGGCAGATGAATATGAGGTAGAAATTGTAGAGCTCAGTTCAATGCTGTCCTGTTTGCTAGAATCCTCTTGATTATTACTCATCTCTTTAAGGAGCTGTTGAAAATCTGATGGGGAAACAGCTGGAAAAAAAGTTTAAAATCACTTAGTGTGGTTCCTAAAGAAATAGAGCATGTTCATCATGTTAAACATATGCTCACTTTTCAAGGTGTATGTTGACTCAGGTAAAGCTGCTTTCATTTCAACCATCCTATCATGTGCAAGCAAAACCCTGTTTTTATTTCCCTGGCATATGATTGGGTATTCAAAGTGAACACAGCTTTACCTTACTTTTCTAGGCTCAGTGAACATTCACTTTGCTAAGTTGGCAGCTTAGTAAATCAACACCTCTGTGCACATTACAAGTTTTGAAGGTATGCCTTGTATGTGCTACAATTAGTACTTAAGTGTATTGTTTTTCTATATTTTAAACTCAACTTATATTTTTCATTGGCAAGGCCTGTTGAAAAAGACCACAAACCATAAGTCACAGCTGATCTCTGCATCATACTCTAGCACACTAAGCAAGGAATGACAGTTTACATACTTACATCTCCTCTATGAACTGGCACTCCACCTAACTGCTGTGTTTCAGCACAATGAAAGAGTGGGACTTTGCAGGGAGGGTGGTTTTATGTCAAAACGTCTTATTCAACTTAACCACTTCACTTGCCCTCCTGAGGATTTACCCCCCTTCCTGATCAGGCCTTTTTTTTGTATTCGGCGCTGCAATATTTCAGCTGGTAATTGCGTGGTTATACAATGCTGTACCCAAACAAAATTTACGTCCTTTTTTTCACACAACTATAGCTTTCTTTCGGTGGTGTTTGATCACCTGTGTGCTTTTTATTTTTTTGCGGTATAAGCAAAAAAGACCGAAAATTTGGGGGAAAAAAATAGATTTTTTACTTTCGACTATAAAAAATATATAGTAAGCTCAAAGGTAGTCATACATTTAGGCCACAATGTATTATGCTACATCTTTTTGGTAAAAAAAAATCCCAATAAGTGTATATTGATTGCTTTGTGTGAAAGTTATAGCATCTACAAACTATGGTATTGATAATGGAATTTACACAGCTTTTACTTTATGATTGCCTATCACATTTCTTGAGGTGCTAAAATACCAGGACAGTACAAACACCCCCAAATGACCCCTTTTCGGAAAGTAGACACCCTAAGCTACCTGCTGAGAGGCATATTGAGTCCATGGAAGATTTATTTTTTTTTCCACAAGTTTTTGGAAAATGACAAAAACATTTTTTTTTAACATTAAGTTGTCACTTAAATGATATATTTCTCACACAAGCCATAGGTATATGTGGAATTACACCCCAAAATACATTCTGCTACTTCTACTGAGTATGGGGATACCACATGTGTGAGACTTTTTGGGAGCCTAGCCACATACAGAAACCTGAGATCCAATGACCACTTTCAAAGCCTGAAGGTGCGTAACTAACTCATTTCACTTCCTCACTACCTATCAGTTTCAGAGGCCCTGGAATGCCAGGATAGCACCAAACCCCCCCAAATGACCCCTTTTTGGAAAGTAGACACCCCAAGGAATTTAGAGGCATGCTGTTGCTCTCAGAATAAACAAGTTGTTACGCAGCTGAATGACATCCTCATTTCTCAAGCAGCTTTTTCCCCCTTCTAAGATGGGTATTTACAAGCTGTTGGGGGAAGCCCCAGCGATTAGGTCGCATGGTGCCACATGCGCCAATTCCAAGATTGAACAAATGTCTAAATAGTGGCACGCTTGAAAAAAAATTGTCCACATATAAGTGGACCCATATGGAAAAAGGATGACACCAAATCCCAAACTATCTTGCCACTGCTACCCATGTAGTCTGGGAATCCGGAAATCCGAAACGTGATCTTTTTCCTTGTAAATCCAAAACTTATATGTATAGCCTGTTGCCCTCCCAAAGGTCTTACAAATCTTCACCCCATATCTGGCTTAAAAATCTCATCTAACAACACTGCACCCACCTAATTATGGATATTCTGAGAGCAAGACCCTGTTGCTGTCAGAATAAACAAGTCAGTGCTGCAGCTGAATGACATTCCTGAAAAGAAAACAGCAATGGTTAGCAATAAAAGAGTAACTCAATAAAACAATATTTTTATTGAAATACCTCTGCCAGAAAAAGTGTGTGGTATGCCAGAATATACCACCCTGCATCCACCCACTTCTAATGGTAGGCACACATGAAATGTGCCAAAAAAATATTATAAAATATATATGCCGAAACATAGAGGCTATCCACCCACTGGCCACCTCAGGACCCCATGCTTCGGCATATATGCTCTTTTTTAACTGCGGATGAAAAATCTCATCCAACAACACTGCCCACACTGACTTATGTATATTCTGAGAGCAAGTTCCTGTTGCTGTCAGAATAAACAGGTTGGTACTGCAGCTGAATGGCATTCCTGCAAAGAAAACAGCAATGGTTAACAATAAAACAGTAACAATAAAACAGTAAAATTGTAACAGTAGAACAGTAACAACAACGTCAACAACAAAACAAACTAAAACTATTTTTGGTTTTAACATTTTTTTATTTTTTGGGGGGATTTGTACTTTTAATTTTTTTTATTACTTTTTTTTTTTTTTTACTTTTAACCAGATTGTAGGGTCTCTCCAAATGCAATAGCCAGTTTCCTGACTACCTAATGTCTTTCGAGACCCTGTGTAAATATGTGCCCTGAACTGTGCCATGCTGTACCCTATACTAATACTCCACTAATGTGTGGCAGCGACGAAAGCAGTCCTTGAGGCATTGACCTGGTTGGCCAGGACAGGAGGGACAAAAAAACTAGGTGTCACGCCTCATACCATGTCTGCTATAGACACAACATCTTTTTTGGGGTGACCTTTGGGTTGGGGTACCAGGAATGGCATCGGGAAAATGCCTCTCATGCAGCCGGCTAACTGCATCTGGGTTGGGGGTTTGAGCCACAGCACCTTCTGGATACAAAAGGGCTGTGATGATCTCTTCCTCTTTTAGGAAGGATCCACTTCGTTCAGTTGCTTTGTAAAGCAAAAAAGCATTATATAGAGCCAATTGAAATAAATAAATAGACACTTTTTTGTACCAGGGTCTGGCTATTCGAAAAACTAAGTATGGCTTCATCGTCTGGTTGTTGGAAGTTCACCCCTCCCATGTTAAGGTTATAGTCATGGACACAGAGGGGCTTCTCAACAACACCAGCTGCCGTGCAATTTGGATGGTCGTGTCTGCGTGAATGGAAGACAGGACGCAAACATCCCGTTTGTCCTTCCACTTCACTGCGAGCAATTCCTCATTTCTCAAGCAGGCTTTTTCCCCCTTTCTAAGATGGGTATTTACAAGCCATTGGGGGAAGCCACGACAATTAGGTCGCATGTTGCCACATGCGTCAATTCCAAGCTTGTACAAATGTCTAAATAGCGGCACGCTTGAATACAAATTGTCCATGTATAAGTGGTACCCATATGGAAAAAGGATAACACTAAGTCCCAAACTATCTTGCCACTGTTCCCCATGTAGTCTGGGCATCCAGAAATCCGAAACTTATATGTATAGTCTGTTGCCCTCTCACAGGTCTTATACACCTTGACTCCAAATCTGGCACGCTTGCTGGGGAGAAATTGTTTGAAAGCAAGGCAGCCAAAAAAAATGAATGAGGGACTCATCAACGCAGATGTTTTGCTGGGGAGTATAAACATCTACAAATTTTTGGTTAAGGTGATTTGGTTAAGGCCACATTTTGTGGAGCCGGTCAAATTTAGGGTCACCCCCAGGGACAACAGAGTGTGTTGTCGTTGAAATGCATAAAACGCATTATACTCTCAAATCTATGCCTGGCGATGGCAGCAGAGAACATGGGCATATGATGAATCGGGTCTGTGGACCAATACAACTGCAATTCATTTTTTTTAATTAATGCCCATGTTGAGGGTTAGGCCTGAAAAAAACGTTAAATTCAGAAACCGTAATGGGTTTCCATGCGAGTGGTAAGGCAAGGTTTGGGTTGGCAGCAATAACCTGTTGTGCACATAAATTGCTTTGATCCAAAATCAATGCATACAGATCTTCTGTGAAAAACAGCTCCAAAAAAAATCAAGGGGAGTATTTAAATTTGCTGTTTCCATCTGAATTCCAAGTCGGGCAGTGAATGGGGGAAGTACGGGTGCTGCAGAATTTGTGGGCTGCCAATCGGGATTTGCAAGCACATCCGGAAGGATACTAGGGGCTCTATGGGCCTGTGTGCAAATTCTTGGTGGTTGCGGGACACTACTTGTGCTCGCCACCACAATAGCTTGTACTGCACTTATGGGACATGCCATGCCACCAAGTGATACTGCAGTGCTGGTATGTGAAAGACCAGGATGTACAAGGCCGCTGGTGCTCGCCAGTTTACCAAAATGTAGAGCAGCACTAGTACAGGTACTCTGCTGCATATGAGAGTCAACATATGTTTGGAACATCTCAGCAACCTAGGAATGGGGTTGGGTACGCCTGATCTTAGCAGGGACCTCTTCTCCATCGTCTGAGCTATCTGTCAGGGTGCCGCTGCTGTCTACAGGTTCGTATACTGAGGCTGATTGTATCAGGGACTCTTCCCCTTCGCTCTCACCTGACATACTCAGAATCCTGTAGGCCTCTTCACTAAAGTACCTTTTGTTGGACATTTTGGCCACTAAATTTATAGGTACCTAATACGACTGACAGGAAAAAGAGCACCTGGCTGTCAGGGACTGCTTGAACCACTACAAAAAAATTTACCAGCAATTTACCAGCAAGTGCTAACAGAGATCAGGCCCGATTCTGCAAACACTGCGGTTTTGTGTGCAATGTATCAATTGACAGTGACCTACTGACACTGCATTTGCTGGGGAAGTGCAGGGGCTAAAGATATTGATCTGTTCAGACACTATACTAGAAATGGAGGTTTATTGTGTATGTGAGCGTGTCCTGGCAATCAAGGGGTAAATGTGATTACTGTTGTACTGAGGGGCAATCTGACGCTATCTGGAAGGGACGCTAATGCTATCTGAAGTCACTGGTGACACTAATACACTAATACAGTGATCAGCAAAAAATCTGTACACTGTATTAATGACACTGGTGACAGGGCAGTGAAGGGATAAACTGGGAGGGGTTGAGCGATCAAGGGGTTAAATGTGTCCTAAAGTGTTCTAAACTGTAAAAGTGTGCTGTTTTACTCGCTGTGTGTTGATTTTTCTCTCTCTGGGACGGAATGTGCCCAGAGAGAGAAGATGTCATCATTTCCTGTACCTGTGTAACTGCAAACACAGGTACAGGAAAATCCCTGATAGGACATCACTGGCCTAAATCGGATGATTAATCCCTCGGGAATTAAATCACAGCACCCGCAAGTCGGCTGAGGCGCATGTGCGCACCCCCACCCGTGGAAACCACGGGAGTGCGAATCACATATACAGCATATATGTGATTTTGAGCACCTGTGCCACCCTGTAGCTATATTTCTGCATTAGGGCAGCACAGAAGTGGTTAAAGAATATGTATATTCGAATAATGAACTTTTTGTATTTGACCTTTTCTTTGCCTGTTAGGACCCTTTCACACGGGCATCCCGTTTTTTTCAGTTTAGTCACGGATCAGTTTGCATCAGTTTTTCATCAGTTTACATCCATTTTTAATCAGTTTACATCTGTTTTTCATCCATTTACATCTTTTTTTATCAGTTTTTGTCTATTTACATCCATTTTTTGTCCGTTTTTTTTAATGACATAAAAATAGGGTTTTCTTCTGTTCAAAAAAAAGGATGTTAACAGATGCGGACATTAATGGATGTAAGCAGATGATCATCCGTTTACATCCGCTAGTCCATAGAAATATATGGGTGTCCGTTTTTCATCCGTAAAACAGACAGATGAAAAACGGACTTACGGAACGCTCCTGTGAAAGGGGCCTTAAATATACCACTGAAAATGTGTTTTTTATGTCATTTTAATGAGTACAGAAAAACCTGTAGAACTTCCCAAAAATGAAGCGCTGTCTTCTACACTGTATCTCAAACATTATTATCAGGATGTGTTAGGACTACAAAACACCCCCACATATAATAGAGTAGAGAATGGGGAGTTCTCTAGTTCTTACACACTTGATGTAGGGCGACAATTTTGCTCCTCCAAAGTTACAGTACAGCAAATGAGTGGTGCGTCAATTCCATCTGGCCATTGTCCCCTGCCATGGTAATGGAGAATGCCTATGCCATTGTTACTGAATAAGAAGTACATTTTCCATTGGATACATTCTGTAATTATGAATGACTACTTGGGAATCACCAGGGATTCCAAACTCTGACATTCAAATCATTAAGGTATAACTAAAGGCAAAACTTTTTTTTTTTAGTTTTGTATAGCGTGGATGGATTAGAACACCTGTCAGTTGTTATTTCTGTCTCAGCCACCATTAAGGAGATTCACCCTATTTGTCCTGTTTACCATTATAATTGAAAGAAGAAAAAAAAAAACCCTAATTTTGGGCTTTTCCCTAGAAAAGGAATAGAGGGGAAATTTCAAATAGGGTCACCAGGATTTTCCTTAATTTGCATGGATTTTCTCTCACTTCCTGTTTGGATATGGAACAGAGAGTGAAGAGAAATTCCTGCAATGGGACACAAATGGTGAAAAAAAAAAATCTGACAGGAGTTATAACCCTCCCTTGCTTTATCCAAAATGTAAAAAAAAAAGTTTTGCCTATAGTTTTACTTTAACAATTAATTTACAGTTAGACGGCAGGAGACTGCACTCATGTAAAAATAACTAATGAGGAATCTAATGCTGGCCATAAATTGATCTTTTTTTTTTCTATCAGCCAGCCAGATTCCCCCATCCACACAAGCAAAAAGGATGGAGGAAACCTATCATCTCTGCTTTTGTATTCTGACAGCCGGGAGTCCGCCACTGTCAAAATACACTTGTCAGTGCTGTAGCCGATTGGCTGTATACAGTGATTGAATGACAATTATTCAACATTCCTGTCTGAGAGAAGATGATCATTTGATTGACTTCTTCCAAGCAGCAACAGCCAAAGATGGATCTAAATTTGGCTGGTCCTTGTTGAACAGGGCAATTTTCAATACATCTATGGCCAGCTTAAAGCAAGTCACACAATTGCTAGTTTTTTTTATCTGCTAATGTTCGAGGAGCATTTTAATTGCTATTGCATTGTTACATTAGTGCATTTATAATACTTCATGATTGCATGCTTTCACTATTAAGACCCCACCTTGTACAAAAGTGCAAATTCAGGAGTTGATTTACTAAATGAGTAGAGCATGCTCATTTGGCAAAGTAATTGTTCACTTTGCAAAGTGAATTTTTACTTAGCTTTGTAAATAAGACAAAGCTACAGTATGTTGATTCTGCATACCCAATCAAGGAAGAAAAAACAGTACTTTGCTTGAACATTATTGGATGATTATAGTGAAAATAGCTTTACCATGTTTACTAGGCAGGATGAACTCTGGCTGTTCAAGTGGTAACTGCCCCTTAAACTCTTGATAACCTCTTGGTATATGATATGCTGAACACCATACTGGAGTTTGTAAGAGAGAATTGACAATTAAATAATATTCCAACTTTTATTTGTTTTTGAACTAATGCATTCAAACTTTCAAGTATGGTTATTGTTATCATTCATACACTGAGTTTGTAATGTTGGGTAATGGCTTCTGGAGTAGAGGAGATGCTGCTCTGCTGTAACTGAACACAATACATATCAAACAGACCCAGCTAAGACTTTTTCCAATTGGGATTCCTGTGTTCATCCTTATGTAACATTGAGGAGCAGTGTCAGAGCTAGGTGTTTACTTGCTGCAAGTAAGCTAATACTCTTGCTCACAGGAGGAACTTAGAATAGCAGCATTAGTAACCAGACACTGCTTTCAAATGTGTAATAATTATGTTAGACAGTTAATTAACATACAATAGGTGATTATTAACATTATAGGATCTATAAGTATGATGGCACATTAACAATTTTAAGGCATTTCATTTATTGTTTACAATTCACAAATTAACTATAAGAGTTGCAAGTATAAAATGCTGCTACTTTGGAATCTGGTTAACGTGTACCTTGGTGTTTACCACTAAGAAATGCTACATTTCTACAGCAAAGACAAAAGTCATAATTTACTATTCTGGCAAATTTACAATTCTATAATGATCTGTAACAGTTTTCATAATTATTCAGTATCATGTTCAATTACTGAATACACCAAATGCTAGGAGGTGTATTCCACACAAAATACTGCAAAATTCTCCTTAAGTTGTAAGCAAAAGCAAACTTCTTTAACTGTAAATAATAGAAAGGTTTAGCTTGTAATGAAACTTTGCAAATAATCTATAGGATGATCCTAGGGAGTTGATGACCAAGGGAGACCATCTTGATCTTTAGTCTTAATTGTTCCCTAAATATGCATGGGATTTAGCTAAAAAACAACTTTGTATGTGTAGATAAATGTCAAATTTCTGTTAATACTTTATTTATTTAAATATAAGTAATCATCAGCCACTCACCTTGGGGTAGACCAGGTATGGTTACAGGCCCTTGGCCTGGCTGTATCCCAACTAGACTCTGTCTCTGTAGGTTTAACAAGTGCTGCTGCTGAAGTTGCTGCATCTGTAGAAGCTGTTGTTGGAAGGCCAACTGTTTATTCCCCAGTGCTGGCTGCATATAAAAAAGATTAATAAAAAGCTGCACTACCAAATGTTGTCTAGAGAAAATATTGCTGCCCTAGACAGCAAAAGCAAAACAATACAAATATTTATGCAATATTAAAAGAAGTACCAGGAGTTTGTCAAAGTCATGTACAGTACAGTACTTTCAAAAGATCTTTTAAGTTATTATTGTGACATAACCCGAAGGTTCCGATTTTTACTTGTTTGCCATATTCTGAATACTTCATAGAGCGACAAGATTGTGGGGGGGGACGTGGGGTGATGGACTCTGTCATAGGTGAGTATCCCTGGTGGGTACAGGTAGCTCTCTAACATACCATGGCCATAGACGTGGTAAAGAGAAGGGCGTGTCACAAGGTTTTTACTGTCCACATAAAGTTTGCTGGTCACGGAGTTTAGAACCTCTAAATGAGTGCGCATTTCCTTAGAGCTCTTTGACCAGAAAACTTTATCTGGCTGATTGAAATTCCTGTGGTGCTCTTCTCTTTCCATTCAAATATTTTGATTACTGTATTTAATATACAGTTTGTAAATGTTGTGGACTTTTGCATACCAAAGATTATCATTTGGGGACAGCTGAGATTAGCCAGCAGTATATGTAGTTTTGTAGAGCATTCTGTCATTTTTAGGAAAACAAAAGGATGATGACAGGTAAGAAGAACAGTCACCCAGAGGTGCAGCAGCTTTTAGTACCTCCTGCTTTGCCTGACTGCCAGGTCTATCTGAAACAAAAACATCAGCACTTATTGATAGGGGTTAAGCTGATGCGCCAGTGATGGGCCAATAGGAATATGGTGAGGAAAGGCTAGCTCCACCACTGCATGGAAGTGTTTATGCACTGCCTGTCAGAAAAGCCCAGCATTTGGGTGAAGAAGGAAGTGTCAGGAGCTGTTGCAGGTATCTCTGCCCTTCATACCTCAAATAAAATATGTCGCCAGCACACCATGAATCCTTTTGTTTTATGTTAAACTGATAGATTCTCCATAAATATGTTCATATCTGATTAACAAAAGCAGAGAATGTTTACTTAGCAAAGAGAATTTTCACAGAACAATCCAATCATGTGCAAGGGAATTTAAAAAAGTATTTTGCCTTTATGTAACTACATGATATAAATGAACAATTTCACTTTATTGCATCTCTTAAGTCAACTTTCAGTTTGCTAGGAAATATTTCTTCCTTATTTAGCAAATCAACTCAACAAACTTACAGTGAAGTACACTTATTGTGCAGCACTACTATGGAAGGAGCAGTGTCTCTGCAAAAGTACATAGCAAATATGGCATGATGGATGTGATAATTATACACTATTCACAGAAACAAATTTTATGTAATAAGTATATTTAAAAAATAAATTCTAAAAACGCTAAAAAAATTTGTTTAACCCCTTGCCCTCCAGAAGATTTATCCCCCTTCCTGACCAGGCCATTTTTTGTGATACGTCACAGAGTTACTTTAACTGACAATTGCGTGGTCATGCAACTCTGTTTCCAAATGAAATTTATGTCCTTTTTTCCCACAAATAGAGCTTTCTTCTGGTGGCATGTGATCAGCAGTTTTTACTTTTTGTACTATACACAATAAAACTAACATTTTTTTTTAAATACAATATTTTTTATTTTCTACTATAAAATAACATTTTATAAATAAAATAACACAAATTTAAAAATCTAATTTCTTTATAAATCTAGGCCAAAATGTATTCTGCTACATATTTTTGGGGAAAAAAATCCCAGTAATTGTATATTGATTAGTTTGCGCAAAAGTTATAGCTTCTACAAACTGTGGTACTGCGATATTTCGGCAGACGTTTTTACACTGACCGATACTTTGTGGGAACCAGTGACACTAATACAGTGATCAGTGGTAAAAATATACACTAATCACTGTACTAATGATACTGGTTGGGAAGGGGTTAGCTTCTAGGGTGATCAAAGGGTTAAGTGTGTGCCTAGCTATGTGCTTGGTATACACTAGGTGGTGCTTTTACTATGGGAAGTGATGGATCGAGAGATACACAATTCATGACTCCCCCTGTCACAACAGAACTGTATCTAGGTAAACATACTGTAGATACAGCTCTGTTCTTCCTCCCTGACCAACGATCTGCAGGTGCCAGCGAACAACTGCTTGACGGGGCTTGTAAATCGGTTTGTGCTGTCACATTTCACAGCAGAAGCCATTCTCCAGCCAACCATGCACCCGTGTGGCAGAAATGCAAAATCACGTGTATACATACACACACGTGATTTTGCACAGGAATGCTGTCCTGTAGTATTAAAATTGCTATAGGGCAGATGTTAATTGGTTAAATAGAAGTATTAAAGAATTTTTTTTTCTCCATTAAAAACCTTCTGTGATCTAATAAAACACAGTGCATAAGCAACAACCCAAACTCATTTACTGGCAAACTGCTGGCATAGGTAAAACAGTAGAAAATTTAAAGAGGATCCACCCCCTACAAGGATCGGAAAAATTCAATTTTGTTGTGTGTCAGTTTCTATTGCAGTCGATTTTTTGATCCTTAACCTGGCTGAAGTGACTTTTTCTGACACATGATGAGTAAATGGTCTATTTTCTTCTTAGGGAAAACAGTGCAATCCTTTATTGGCTTCAGAGGTCTCTAAAATATTGCAAAACGCCAATGAGTAATAACAGTCCTGTTCTTGCGCTCACTGCATGAGCTTTTTATTGTATACACAGAAAATACAGACTACCTCTAGCAATGCCTGCATTAGTAGCATTTCAAAAATCAGTGTTTACATGAGGCACCAATCTGATAAACAGGACTATGATCACTCCCCCTACCTTGAAATGATATAAGAATTCAGCATGCCATGCATATCATTGGTACAGCTTGGTCCATATAAAAAAAAAAAAAACTATTATGGAGGAATTTAGGTCTCCCAAACTTCATCCTAGCATTGCAATGTACCCAAGGATCTAAAACTCATCAGTGTTCTGTGATAACTGCTTATGTATGCTGTTTCATATTCAATAAACCATCTGATACTTTGATATGGACTTTCTCTTTCTTTCTTTATTTATATTGTGCTTCTTTTGCTGGGTAAGACTATGGCTCAACAAGGTGGGTGTTGGCTGGATGCCCTGGCAGCAGCACCGTATGTTTTGCATAGGGCCACTGCTGTGTGATATGATAATACTTGGAGTGACATAGCAACAGAGCTAATATGCACAGCAATGAGGTCCGTGCGCTTGTGCAGGGTGGAAGTAAGTGGGAAAATTACTATGGTAGTGGTTATAAAAACTGTACCATGCAGAGCATCACAAAACTAAATATTTAAAAGCTCAATAATGTGGCCTTTGCAGATGTCATTCCCTGTCATTAACAATCAAAACCAGTAGCCATGCAGCCAAAACCACTGAAGGTGCAGATAGTGGCATTAAGGGGTAGCTCCAGCACAGCCATCCAAAGCAGTGTGATTAGTGAACACACACACAGAGCTTACTGTGAAACAGCACACAGTTAACCCTTAGATCACCCCTCATGTTAACCCCTTCCTGCCCAGTACCATTAGTACAGTGTCAAATATTTCTTTAGCACCGATCACTGTATTGGTGTCACTGGGGATGTCAGTGACACCAAGTCAGTTCCCCCTCAGTGTCAGTATGCCCAACGCAGTCTTGCTATAAGTCGCTGATTGCCGCCATTACTGGTAAAAATGGTTTTAAAAATTCCAGTATATATACCGCCATTTGTAGACGCTATAACTTTTACGTAAACCAAATAATTTACACGTATTGGAATTTTTTTTAGCAAAGGCATGTAGCAGAATACATTGACCTAAATGTATGACAAAATTAGATTGTTTTTATTTTTTTACTGGGCATATTTAATAGCAAAAAATCAAAAATATTGTTTTTTTTTTCAAAATTGTCTTTTTTTCTGCAAAAAAATAAAAAAAAAAGGTTTTTCACAGTGAGAGCTGTGAAAATGTGGAATAGACTCCCTCAAGAGTTGGTTCTAGCCAGCTCAGTGGATTGCTTTAAAAAAGGCCTAGATTCTTTCTTAGATACACAGAATCAGGGGCGGACTGACCATTTGGAAACTCGGGCACTGCCCGAGGGCCCGGGTCAGTAGGGGGCCCCATGAGATGCAACTAGTACCTATTTCATAGGCTTTTTTGAGTTTGGGCAAGGACACAGGGGCCCCATGATCCCCTATTGCCTGAGGGCCCCATGAGTTGTCAGTCCGCCCCTGCACAGATTATAACTGGATACTAACATTTATAGGTAAAGTTGATCCAGGGATATATCCAAATTGCCTCTCGGGGATCAAGAAGGTATTTTTTTTCCCCTGCAGGAGCAAATTGGATCATGCTTTGCTGGGGTTTTTTTGCCTTCCTCTGGATCAACTGTGGGTATAGGATTATAACTTTTTTTTTTTTTTTTTTTAATGGTTGAAATGGATGGACTTTTGCCTCTTTTCAGCCAGACTAACTATGTAACTATGCAAATCAGTGTTTATTATTTAGTTGATAGGAAAGCTATAGAGTCCAAAATCTATGGTATATATGTAAAAATGAATAAATCCTGATGTACTGACAGCTAATTTAATCTTGAGGCCTGAAAAATGCCAGGAAATACCCCCCTCATATGACGTCCTCCCAGGATAATAGGGTTCCCACTCAGCCGTCATTGTACAATAGGCCAGGCAGGAAGAAGTTAATTTCAAACATCATGTAGCTTATTACAGATGTGCAAGTTAGAGACAACTTGGTTAATAGTAATCATGGTGTAATCACAATTGCCATAACTTGAAAGAGAAGAATGACAGGAAGTATGACAAAAAAATCTAACTTCAATAAGATGAAAACCTTACTACACAAAACTCAATGGGACCAAATTTTTTAAACAAAGAGCACACAAGACAAGTGGGACTGATATTATTGTTATTATACAGGATTTATACAGCGCCAACAGTTTGCGCAGCGCTTTACAATATAACAGGAGACAATACAGTAATAATACAGTTCAACACAAGAGGGTTAGGAGGGCCCTGCTCATTGGAGCTTACAATCTAAGAGGTATAACATTAATTAAAAAAGTGCATTAACCATTGTATTCCATTGTGTAACAAGCGTAAAAGAACAAAATTAAACCTATGTGCCTAAATTCTAGTGCAAAAAAACAAATAACAACAAAAAACAATAATTGAGGAATATAAGGCGTTTAAAAAGTACAAAAACTAGACGTTACACCCTCAGCACTCAAGATTAACAAGGTATGCAAAAAGAAATGCAGGAGAGCAGAGTAGCTAAAATAGAATATGAGAAACATGTTGCTATATCAAGTAAAACAAATCCCCATTTTTTTTTTTTAATTATCTCCAGTAAAAAGACCTGTAACTAATGAGCACAGGAAGATGGTCATAAATTACACAGAAAATGAAGATTAAATAACATTTCCCTTTAGTTTTTATAGATGAAAATATCGGGTTTGATAGTCTTAACAGTAATATTAATGATTGTGATAAATAAATACAATAAAGAATGTAGCGCTACTCCCAAAAATGTATATTAATGATGTTTCACTTAAGGTATATCTGTGGTTGACTGATTGGAGACCCCACCTATAAGGATCAATTGCATAGATTATAGTTATTCACTCTGCAGAGGTGCTCAGGAAGTATTATTATAATGATGCAGTAACTGTATTAAACTGTTACTCCACGGTCCCTGAAGAGGAAATGTGGCCATAATTTGAGGTTAGAAGAAAGGTGGTTCAATCCTAGATTGCTGAAAGGGTATTTTTGTGATAGAGCAACTAAAATGTGTGCAGGACCTACATGTGCGTTTTCATTTGCACATGAGCACATGAGGACAGGGGCACTTTGAGGTTTTTTAAAATGTTATTATTTAATTTTTTTTTTTTTACACTATGTCTTGAAATAGTTTTTTTAGATTAACTTTTTTGCTATCACAGGGAATAAATAATATCTCGTGATAGCATGGGCAGTAACAGGTCCTCTGCCCTCAAAAGCATCTAAACAAACTGAGATCAGATGCTTTACAAGATAACGGCTTGTAAACAACAAACCAAACATGGAAGTTTTGAAGTCCTCGCTTCCAGCTTCATTCATCACAGAGGAGGGGAGGGTGCAGATGTTTCGTCTTCTCCTCTGTACTCAAGTCAGCCACATTGGATGCATTGGTTCCAGGCTCCCTAATCACACTGGAGATCCTGGGAATGGTGATGTATCATGCCCTGTGGAAATAATCAGGCAGCTGTAGAGCCGCTGCAGATTTTGATACCAGGATCATGGCTGCAGGACGTACGGAAAGTGGTTTAAAGTTCATAAAGATTACCTTTCCCTTTCAATCTGCAGTGCTGTAATTTCCTGCAAAATTCAAAGCAAAAATGGCAACCTGGAGGCGTTCTGTACATTGTTGGTGTACAGAATGCCTCCAAAAATGTAATTCTGCTTGTATGATTTGCTCATTGATTTTTTTTGCCAAAATCTGCACCCAGTTGGATAACAGTTGCTCAATGGCTGCAGTACTGATTTGTGTATTCTGACAATGGGTAAGTCTCCCCGCTGTCAGAATACAATAGCGAAGAATAGAGAATATGGGGGGGGATCGGTTCAATTTTATTTTGTTTAGCCTACTGGCTGAATGAAAAAACTGAACCATGTATTACACGCTTTGTCTACTAGACTGCAGGGTTATATCTACACACTATGCACAATTGCTGAAACAGGAAAATAATGGCTACACTATAAAAATGGAGGTTTTGAGAACAATGGCTATCTGACTGCAACTTCACTGTGACTTCATTTGGATTTTAAAATGATTTATACAGGGGAAACAAAAAGGTGTTATAAGAAGTAATTGTCTTAAAAATCACTAACCTCTTTGGCCTGCTGTTTCCCTGACTGCTGCTGTGAGAGCAACTGGAGGTGTAGCTGTTCTTGTTGCTTCTTGTAATATTCCTGAAGCTTTGGAAAAAACAAGATGGAAGCATGTTGACTACAAAGACTACAATGACTGGGTGGTCTACTGGTGAAAAACAAAAGAAAATTTGTACTGGGAGAACTAGACCAGGATGAGCTCTGTTCCACAACTTCACTTTTATACAATACCTGAAGACAAGACTCCCATGAAGAAAAACATAAAACAAAATATATTAGTAAAGAATAAAAAAAAAAATACCCAGCTCCCCATAACTCCTTGTCTAAATGAACACATACTGACATTCTGCATAATTTATTATTCAAGCATCATTCATTATTTTTGTCTATTGTAGACCTGCACAAACAGGACCTGACTCATTCTTGATGCTACACTGATAAATAACGTTTTGCTATACTACTTTGCATTATGTAAAAATCATACTTATCTGATGTCTTTGTGGATATAAGGCTTTTTAAAAATATTTTACAGTAAATATCTCCAGCTCACTATTTCTATAAATGCTGTGTTGAGGAAAATAATTGGAACATATTTCTTTCAATTGTTTCCTTCTAATTAAAACCTGTAAAAAAATATATCTGTCCAAAACTTCTACAAAATTCTGTCCTGAAAAAAAAAAAAAAAAAAAAAGTAGTATACTAAATCGGGATAGACTACAATGCAAACATTTATTTGGTGAAAAATCAATATATCTAATGAAAAGCTCTGGAAATTGCAGGCATGGGGGTGCTGCCAATAACCTAGTGTATGTATAGCCAAAATATCTATGTTTAGCTTTGAATAGAATAGGGATGGATTGGAACCATGTAGAGTTTTTTTTGTTTGTTTCTTGCTGGCTTTGTCCAGGCTGGGTAGATTCAACATCTATATTTATCCTAGTGACCATTGTCCATAGAAAACAAGTGATAGGAAATCCAAAATTTTGCAATATATTTTTTTTTTACCAGAACAAGAGGTGCGGGTAAATCTTAAAAAAGGGGAAACTTATCTAAGACAGAATGCTTCTCACTTTCTGGAGAAGTTTTCGCTATATTGTGAATTTGAGAACAAATTTCTCCAAAGTGCCTACAGAAGTCAGTATGGGATCATGTTAAAGCTGAAATTCAGTCATCAGTAAAAAAAAAAAAAATCACTATATAGTTGATCCAGCCCCTGCACAGCAAGGGTTGACTCCTCTTTAAATCGAGAGTCTAATGAATAAGAAAGGTTTGTCTTATTCCTCACTCCCACTAGCTTCCTCCTCGATGTTTGACCAGTACCACAAAGCCATTCTCCTTAGCAATATATGTAGTGCAGTGCTAAAAAACAAATAATACAAGAGATATAAAATAGACAAACACCTCTTATAATGTATATAAAACGGTTTAAAGATATCTGAATGACCAATATAACTTCAAACAAGGTGCGTAATTGGTGTATAAATAGCAACAAGTAATGTCCTTAAAGGCTATGTAGTGTTTTGATTATACCAAACACATCCAATAGCTCCGTAATGAACAGTGCTAATGCAAGTCCAAAAAGTGAAAATGGTGATTGAACCACAAATGAACTAAAAGAAGGTGACTTGATTAAATCCCAGTGACACGATCCGGTGTTGTGCAGGAATAACGGGTAAATTGCACACTCACCAGAGGAGCAATATAAATGCGTGTTTATGTCATATCAAGATCAATCCTGTGTGCACCACAGTTTTGTGCAGTTTTGTGCTGCATTCAACATTTTACTGCATTTTTTTACTCAAAAGGATTTATCTTACCTCAGTACCTTTAAAGTGTGTTCTTACTTTTAACCTTGATAAATGTATCCAATTTTTGATCAAATTACTACACCATGGGTACTTTTTTCTGATCTACATCGAGCATTTAACCCCCCAGGTGACCATCCCAGGGCCCAGAGGAGAGCTGTATCCAGCAGATCCCGTCCGTAGCCAGGGCCTCTAAGGGGACCTCTAGAAGTTCCATTATCTACTGAGGAGTTATCCAATCCAGGCCACATCCTATCCAGGATTGAGGGGACCTCTGTTACATATGACATAAACGCATTTATATTTATTTATTTATATTGCGCCTCTGGTGCACCTCTTACATTATAAGAGGTGTTTGTCTATTTTATATCTATTGTATTATTTGTTTTTTAGCTCTGCACTACATATCTTACCAATATTTTGGAAGGTTTTATGGTTTCCCTTTTTAGCGTACTAGCTGCTGTTTCTTTAAGCGCTCACTAAACCCCATTTATTTTACATTCTCCTTAGTAATCAGCGGCTTCTCTGACATCATCATGTACAATTCAAGCTTCTGACATAAGGACAAGGTATTTCACCTTATTTTTTACCTCCTGGTCAACACATGCAGCTAACCCTTGCTGTGTAGGGAAGTGGGTACAAGTATTTTATTTAATTTAAAAAGAGTCCAACTTTAAAGCTCATTTACTGTTTCGGAAAATGGTTTAACTACAGGTTCACTTTAAATGACAAAAAATGGGCTGATGTAAATGCAGCAATGAAAACAGTGCAATAAAGCTTATTATGAATTATGTTGCAGTTTCACAAGTTTTTAATTGCTCAAATAATGTCCATTGGTGAGCTGGAACGAAGTTGTTATTTTTAATAAACCTGAGCAATTTAGTGGTTTTGCAGTAGTTTTGGTGCACTTTATGTGCAGTGCAATGACTGGCAAATTCTTTAAAACCCCTTCACGAGTGCTTGAAAACTTCAAGTGTTTTTGATTTTGAAAATTGTTTACTTTGCAGATGTAAAGGAAGCCTAAGCAAAATGCCTGATTTGCAAACAATTTGAAGGCTATAGTTAGGCACCTTCTGACTTCTTTGTGTACTGTGCCTTGCTCACCCATTTTCACTCCCTAGGACTTTTCCACATTTTTTAGAGTTACAACTTGGAATTAAAATAAATTTATTGGATGACTTGAAGGCCCCTCACACCACTGCATTTTGACAAGCCCATATGGTTGCGTACATGGCGCCATTCATTTTAAATGGTACCCCAACACACTTTCACAATGTATCTATGTTGCAGCACAGTTCAATGCAGAGTAATGCATTACTGTGTGTTGTGGTGCACTGTGTTGGGAAAAGGTGCAGCTATGCATTTCTGTCCTAATGCTTTGGCAATCTATCCAAATAAATTGACTACCTTAAGATAATGCACACTGATGGATAACATAATATGTATGAGTTAAAGCAACACACTGGAGTGGACAGGTGTAAAGCTAGCCTAAAGTGCAATGTTTTGTTACCCAAAACTTAATAAAACAAAAGGACAGACAAAATAATTATTTTTTTCTATAACTTTACAAGCTATGGTAAATTATAAACAATATTATAAATGGCAATGGCTAATAAATTCCAGAGGCTTGAGAAGCTTACATAGAAGCTGGGAGAGTTTCACAGTTTTTAAGCTACATTGGTTTTTATTGAAACAGTTTTTCTTATCTCATTGCTCTTTTCTGGAGCTCAGTTTTGTGGGGTCTTTGGGTTTTTCCTGTCCCTCAGGCTGATTCTTCCATCTCAGCTGTAAATCTTTGCCAGCTTTTTCAGAGCTTCAAGTGGCCTCTTGGTTGATTCTGAGTAATGCCCTCTTTACCTGTTCATTGCTTAAACAAGTTTCTTTAGGCATTGTCATTCATGGTTGTGCTATATTCATTTCATTAAGGGTTCATTCACACCAGATCCATTGGGGTGCATTTGTAAGCACATTCCCAAAGCGTGGCAACCAAAAAATAGTGGTTCCCTCTGAGTGCAGTTCACATCAGCACATTGCATTGCATTGTATTTGTGCAGCACTCTAAAAAAAAGTACAGCATGCACTACATTTTCTAGTGCAGTGCAACTCAATGTGTTCAAATGCACGCAAGCGCACACAAACGCAGTGCACTGCAAGACAAATCAAAGCAATAAAGGCAAAAAAAAAACCCCCAAATGCAACACATGTAAAAACGCATGCAAATATATTACAAAAAAAGCAATGCAATGCAAAGCAACACACATAAGTTAACGCATGTGTGGTGGTGTGAATGAGACCTTAACAATAATGTCAACTGTGCTCCAGGGATGGCCAAAGTTTAAGATAACCAACCCTGATTGGTCCTTCTCCAGAATTTAAAATTGGACTTATTTGAACAGCTGCTTGATCTTCAAGATATTTTAATTAAGTTCTCTATGAGTCCTTAACTACACACTTTAAAGCGGTATTAAATCCAAAAGCAAACATTTATGATATTGCAGCTTACCAATTCTTAGACATGATGGCTGCATTTGTTTTATTCTTTTTAGGCTTTTTTTCCTTTATTTTTAAGTTAGAGGTTGTGACACACCATTTACCACTTACAGAGGTGATTACAATGGTTAGCTTTTATTCATTTATGCAAAACCTTTATCCCAATAGGAACAAAACTGTAGCTGTAATTGATTAAAAATTGTAAGCTGGAGTTCACAATCAATTTGTTAGTCCTCCTGAGTGTAGGCACTCTAATACAGGAGGTGTGTTACTGACCAGATCACCAGGTGAAAGAAGAGGGAAAAAGCCTAAAAAAGAAAACAAATGCAGAATCCACATCTAAGGATTGGCAAACTGCAAGGTGTTACATTTTGGGTTTTGGGTTTATTACAACTTTAATTGCATCAGGCTAGATTCCATTGAAATAAATATAAGGGTTTTAACGTTATCTAGTTGTGCCTGAATTTATTTAGAGTCTTTCACAGAAAACTAGGTAAATATTTATGCATTTTGTTTATATATAACTTGGAAAAATATGTTGATTATTTTTTATAGTTTGTTTAATAGACAATTTAGAGCATATAAGTGACAATATATTTCCAAAACATGACATATATTTCCAAAACATACATTAAAGTTCCAGGTTTTGACACTACAGAAAGGTCTAAAGGATTTGAATACTTTTAAAAAGTACTAAGAGTGACTTAAGTTTTATGTTACTGGTCATGTCATATAGTATATTTCATGTGGATCACCATTATTAAAATATAGCATAACAGTATATAGAATGGCTTTCACAGATCTCTCTAATTTGCTTTGTAAGTAAAAATGACAGAAAAAAATCTCACCTGCTGCAACATAAGCGCTTGCTGCTGCTGCAGAACTGCCTGAATTTGTGCAGGGGACAAAATCTGTTGCATCTGTTGCTGGGTTAACATTTGTGGAGACATCATAGCCACTGAAACGGGGACCTAGTGGAAAAATAAAAAGATAGGATTTGTTTGGCTTCACAGGAATTTACCTGGAATCATTCTATTAAGCTGTCCAGTGGTTCCCACCTGAACTGAAGGCTGCTTGCTTTCTGTGCTGCTTGGAGTACTTAGCCCTGTTGCCTGCTGTAACAAAAGCTGTCTTGCCACCTGCAATGCCTGGAGGAGAGATGAAACTCTGAAATGTTTTTCTTTTAACCAATGTAGAAACATAAATTATAAATATTAACTTGCTGCTGTTTTACATATAAAATATATCTTATTACTTCGATTGCTAAGGTGGTAACTGTTGTTTTAAATTGTTAGAAAAAGAAAACATATAGTCATAGTCATGTCCAGTGTCTTTCGTCTCTTCTTCATACCAATGCTTATTAGATGTTTGAATTTGGCTGTAAACTATTCAGCTTTCTTCAACCCAGCACAACCTTGAAACAAATGTTTTTTAAGGGATAAGGTCACCTTTGCACATTTTTAATCACGGTGCAGATCATGTGTGCAATGCCGGGCTCCTGCAGACTGTCAATGTAAGCTGTCTGCTTGTACCTCTCTTGGGCAGGCAGTTACACAATGACATGAAGAATCAATGAACTACCTAGAGCACTCAACAGCTCATCTGCAAAGGCTGTTGGTAGTTCTAGTTCTTTAATTCACTGAACTCTGTGAATTAATGACACGCTCGTGTGAGCAGAGCCCCACGCGGCCGCACTCTTTTCAAATAGTGACAGTGGGTGAGGGCAGAAAATCCCTGGCCCACTGTCACAGGGAGGGGGGGATCGGAGAGTAGATACAGAAGCAGGAACATGTTAGATGTTCCCCTCTAAAATGAGTGGAACATGTAACATGTTTTCAAAGGTGAACCTATTCTTTAATGTTGTGTGGCGTTAAAAATGGTCCATTATTATATGGAAAACTCTTTCAATTCACCTAATGCATGAAAAGTGCACTAATTAAAGTGGTTCTAAAACATAGAATGCAATAAGGTGAAAAACCTTCTGTGCTGCAGGATCCCTCCCAGCCCCCTTCCCCCTTCTTCTTACCTGAACCCGATCCAATCCAGCGATGTGCACAACAGCAGCAGCTCTCGACACTGTCTCTCTCTTCCCTGGGCAGATATATAACAGCTGCTGTCAATCACATGCTGTGCCGAGTAAGCGGGAGGCAGGGCCGAGGCCCTGCTGTGTGTCAATACAGATAGGACAGGTCGCGAGCGAGCCCGCACGGGTGACCCCATAGAGAGGAGCAGACCCCAAAAGGAGAGGATCGGAACTGCCCTGCGCAAGACCATTGCATTGAGCAGGTAAATACAACATTACATCGTTTGTCATTAAAAAAAAAAGAAGCTTTAAGTGATATTAGATATCAGCTCATGGGGGAGATCTCTGATGGGGGGCACAGTCTCTGATGGGGGGCTTCAGATGCTGCTTCAGATTGAGTGCATAGAAGAAGCAGTTAAACGCAGCAATCTAATTATGCCTTCTCTACACAGGTAAATGCACCTTTCTCCTACCTCCACTCTTAACTCCAAAACGCATTGACTCCTGCTATATTCAGAACAAATGGTGTATTTATATTTGTGTATATGTTGACCAGCTCTCACCTTCAGCTGCACCCGTTTTTACGATTGGTGTCTGTTTCCTGAGAGAAACATCCCCCACTACTCATGTGATCCTTATTAGCTTCTAATTGGGGTGGAGTTGAATGTTCATTTGAGCATCTCCCTATAAATTTAGATCAGCTCATGGGGGAGAGATCTCTGATGGGGGGCACAGTCTCTGATGGGGGTGCTGCTTCAGATTGAGTGCGGCTTAGAACGAGTGCATAGAAGAAGCAGTTAAACGCAGCAGTTGAACTAAAGCAGGAGAACTCAAGCAGCAGGAAGACACAACAACAGCAAGAAGCTCTACTGCATGCTGGAAGACTGCAAGCAAACACCCTGGGAAACCTCTTACATGCCTGAGTCCCACTCCGTGTACCTTTTATATAATACACCCCTCTTCTCCTTATCATATTACTATCCTCTGTTCCCAAATCTCATTTCTTTACCCTCTGCTCCACCCCACAACCTGTACATCTCCCCCTCACTGCTATCATCTCCCTACTATTGCTCTCTTCACCTCCCCAAAATGCCTCTTCCACTCCTCCTTCTCATTTTCCTCTCCTCCATTCCCAAAATCCATTCACTATATTCCTCTGCCCCTCCCAAACAATTGTATATTGTGTCCTCACTGCTTCCTTCGCCCTTCTATGGCACCCACCACCTCCTCCTATTACTCCACTCTCCCTCTGACCCAAACACCTCCACTAGGAGTTTCTCTCGCTCCTGCACATCCCGCTCCCATGCCACCTTTCTCACCCTTCTCCTCCTCCTAGCCGCTGGGGACATCTCCCCGAATCCTGGCCCTCCACCTCCCTCACCCGCTCAAACACCCTCCCACCTCCACGTCCTACTGCAACCCCCACAACTTAGTATCTGTCCCCCTGCTCCCTAAAATCCCCCCCATTTTCATGTGCACTCCTGAACGCCCGTTCGGTGTGCAACAAGCTTACCGCCATCCACGACCTCTTTGTTTCCGGCTCCCTCAACCTCCTAGCGATCACAGAAACCTGGATCCAGCCCACTGACTCTACCTCCCCTGCTGCACTCTCCTACGGAGGTCTCACCTGGACCCACTCACCCAGGCCTAACGGTCGTAAAGGTGGTGGGGTTGGTCTGCTCCTGTCACCGCAGAGCACCTTCCGAGTCCTCCCAAACCCCCCCCCCTATCCTTCTCCTCCTTCGAGGCCCACTGTGTCTGACTATTCTCCCTAACCCCCCTGAAGATTGCTGTGATATACCGGCCTCCTGGATCTATACCCCGCTTCCTGGATGACTTTTCCTCCTGGTTACCCTTCTTCCTCTCCTCTGAGCTACCCACCATCATCCTTGGGGATTTCAACATCCTGTCAACCTCGACAACCCAGACACAGCCCGTCTCCTCCACCTAACCTCCTCCTTTGCACTTGCACAGTGCATACAATCCACCACCCACTCCGACGGAAATATCCTGGACCTTGTCTTCTCCAACCGCTGCGCCCCCCACAACCTCACTAACACCCCCTTCCCTCTCTCTCTGACCACAACCTGATCACCTTCTCTATCTCCTCGTCCTCCAATGCCTACCCCCTCCAAATGTCACACTACTACCAGCCGTAACCTCCGCAACCTTAACCCTGCCTCCCTCCACTCTGCAGCTGATCAACTCCCGACCGCATCCTCCCCCTGTCCTGCCCCGACTTGGCTTTGACCGCCTACAACAATGCGCTCTCAACAGCCCTTGACTCACTAGCGCCTTTAACCACACGCAACATCAGACCCCGACCGCTCCAGCCCTGGCAGACTGATCACACCAAAACCCTCAAACGACAAAGTCGTGCCCTGGAGCGACTATGGCGCAAAACCAAATCCCAACAAGCCTTCACCCGCTATAAATCTGCCTTCCACACCTACACCTCCTCCCTCCATGCTGCCAAACAGGCCTACTTCTTGACCCTCATCAAGGCCCTCTCCTCCAATCCTCGCCGACTCTTCTCTGCCTTCAACTCTCTACTCTCTCCACCCCCACCTCCACCCAGCACCTCACTCACTGCCCTTGAGATTGCCAATCACTTCAAAAACAAGATTGACACAATTCGCAAGCACATTGCCGCAACTCACACACGCCCTCTCAACCGGTCCCCTCTCACACAGCTACCCCCCTTATCCCCCTCCCCCTCGACATAACCCGTAGGGACTTCGTCGCTGCTCAAACTCTCTCCAACCCCCTTCACCCTCACTCAGCTACCCCCTCATCACCCCTCTCCACGGCCCCACCACTGCTCTGACCTCCTCTTCCACCCCACCCTACATTCCTCATACTGAAGCTCCCCCCACACTCCGCACCTTTGACCTTACTACCATCGAGGAAGTCTCCAAGATCCTCTCTGATGCCCGCCTCACCACCTGCCCCCTCGACCCTATCCCCTCACAACTCCTACGACCTCCCTCCCCCTCCATCCTACGCTCCCTCACCCACATCTTTAATCTCTCCCTCTCCTCCGGCACTTTCCCCTCCCCTCTGAAACATGCACACATCACCCCCATACTTAAAAAGCCCTCCCTGGACCCCAATGACCCGAACAACCTCAGACCCATCTCCCTGCTCCCATTTACATCTAAACTCCTCGAGCGCCTAGTCTACACCCGCTATGCTCTCACCTCAACGACAACAACCTCCTCGATCCCCTACAGTCCGGCTTCCGTCCCCTACACTCCACCGAAACTGCCTTACTCAAACTCTCCAACGACCTTCTAACCGCCAAAGCTAATGGCCACTATTCAGTGCTCCTACTCCTTGACCTCTCTGTGGCCTTCGACACAGTCGACCACCCCCTCCTCCTCAAAAAACTACACTCCCTCGGCCTCAGAGATTCTGCTCTCTCCTGGCTCTCATCCTACCTGTCACAACGCTCCTTCAGCGTTACCTATAATGCTACCACCTCCCCCTCACTCCCCCTCTCTGTTGGGGTCCCTCAAGGCTCTGTCCTCGGGCCCCTTCTCTTCTCCATCTATACCTCCTCCCTTGGCCAACTCATACACTCTCACGGCTTCAACTACCACCTCTATGCCGACGACACACAAATCTATCTCTCAACCCCCCACCTCACCCCCTTGGTCTCAGCCCGAATCACACGCCTACTGAGCGACATATCAGACTGGATGTCGCTCCACTTCCTTAAATTGAACCTCTCCAAAACCGAGTTTCTTGTCTTCCCCCCCCAGCCCGGACACCACCCCCCAATGATTTCTCCGTCACATCCAACAACGCTACCATCAAACCCGCCCTGCAGGCCAGAGTACTGGGTGTCATTCTGGACTCCAACCTATCCTTCCAGCCCCAAGTCCAATCTTTAACAAACTCGTGCCGCCTCCACCTCCGCAACATCGCCAAAATCCGCACGTTCCTAAACCCCAGAAACCACTAAACAGCTCATCCACTCCCTCATCATATCACGACTCGACTACTGCAACTCCCTCCTCACTGGCCTGCCTCGCCACTGGCTATCCCCGCTTCAGTCGATCCTGAATACGGCTGCCAGACTCATTCACCTTTCCAACCACTCTGTCTCCGCCACCCCCCTCTGCCAATCCCTCCACTGGCTTCCGATTGCGCAACGGATCAAATTCAAAATCCTAACGCTGACGTACAAAGCTGTCCACCATACTGCCCCGAACTACATCACTGACCTAATATCCAAGTACCGCCCAGCACGCACACTCCGCTCCTCACAAGACCTCCTTCTCTCTAGTTCCCTGGTCTCCTCCTCCCATGCCCGCCTCCAGGACTTCTCCAGGGTGTCACCCATCCTCTGGAACTCCCTGCCCCAACCCATCAGATTATCACCTACTCTCCTCTCCTTTAGGCGCACCCTGAAAAACCATCTCTTCAGGAAGCCTACCCCACCCCCTGCTAACTTGCCGACCTCCTCCACTCTTCCTACCACTCCATCCCCCACAGCTATCTCCTCCTGTGCCACCACCCCCTCCCTCCTAGATTGTAAGCTTAAAAGAGCAGGGCCCTCGATCCCCTCATGTTTTGCATTGTATTGGTATTGCTCTGTCACATGTTCTGTCCCCCTTTGTAATGTACAGCGCTGAGCGAACTATTGGCGCTTTATAAATACTGTATAATAATAATAATAATATTAAAGTCTTGATTTTTTTTTTTAAACAACAAACCTGTCATACTTACCTGCTCTGTGCAGTGGATTTGCAAAGAGCAGCCTGGATCCTCCTCTTCTCGGGTCCAATGCTGGCATTCTTGGCTCCTCCCTCCTGGTGAGGGCCCCCATTGAACCCAAGCAGGCGCTCTCCTGAGCCGCAGCTCTGTGTGTCCATTCACATACAGAGCCACAGCTTGGCCCCGCCTCTCCCTTTCCTGATTGGCTCACTGGAGAATCGAGGCTCTTGTGGACATTGCTGGATTGAGAGGGGGCTCAGGTAAGCGTTAGGGGGAGCTGCTACACAGGAGCACCCCTGGTTCCTTCAAACTGCAGTCATGTGACCCCACAGGAAGGGCTCCTGAGACAGAGGAGTAAGAACACAGCAGCCATACATTCTCTAGAGAAGGTAGAAGATTGGTGCCACTGGAGATATCTGAAGACAAGAAGCATATACCATCTTAGTGGGCAGTCTGTTCTCTTAACATACAAGGACATAGCCACTAAAGGATAGCAGTGGATGAGCAGAGATTGAGCAACGTATAAAGCGCTTGTGATCTATGTTCAGTATAGGTCAAGGAAGAAGGTGAGTGCATGGCACACTTATTGGTGACGAGAAGCACTATGGATAATTGTACAGGTTGGATATTGTAAATACTGAAACACTTTGCTGTGGAGCACGTTGTGTTCTGTTCAATGCAAGTGCATACGTTTAGTTCACTTAGTGTGTAGTTTATTTAAACGGTGTTGCACTATGGAATATCAAGAAATGGGGAAAACCTCCTGCGCTCACTTCTACTAAACTAAAAATAAGCTGCTACACCTGCACCTTATTACCTGAAGTGGAAAACCAAAATATAACAATCAATAAGTGTAGCGCTCTAAATCTGAACATAAAAAATGTGACATAATGGTGAAACAAACAGTGAATCCTAATGATATAAATGAATGCTACAATAGTACAACATCACACGATATTAAGCATATGGTGGAAATGACTGATATTAAGCCCCCTAATACAGGGGATATACCCTATAAAACAAGTGCTCAGTGTCAACACACTCTATTCATAACCATAAATAAACCGCTGAAATCAGAAAAAAAAATGTATGCAACAAGTGAGTATATATGCAACAAGTGAATATAAATGAACACATCACTCAAAATAAAATCTTATATAACAAAATGTGCCACCAGTGTCCACAACAATGAATGCAAACATGCAGTTGAATCTTGTGTGTTTGTAGGCTCTGGTGATGACTCCACATACAGCTAGATTGGCTCCTCACCTCCTTGCGGCAACCCTAAAAGGGCCTAAGTGCCTTATGGATCACTCCTGGATCCCCCTGGGTTAAAGCGTATCCTCAAGGAATATCCTAAATGGCTCTTATCCAGAAAAAAACAGCTCCCACGTGGTCCACAATGAGAAAAGCCTCCATAGTGTATTACCATTTATTAGCTCAGTAATTAAAATTATATACACAGGACACTCACATGGTACATCTTCTTGTATACAGCATTTAAACCTCATGTATGGGTGTACTTGCATGGGTTCTTCTTTCCAAAGATGGCGTCCGCGCCGGAAATGACGTTGCGTCACCGCTCACGTAACTTCCTCAGGGTCTGGTAGGTGACGTCATTTCCGGCGCGGAATCCCCACCCTCTCTATCCTAAACTGAAAAAAAAAGTTTTGCCTATAAATAAACTTTAACAGAAGTTGAAAGCTGTTTAGATTATTATGCTAACACTAAAGGTAGTCAAATTTAAACATTTTCATGATAAAATATCCAGGGAATAATTCCAATTAAATTGTGGAGTAAGAAGGGAAGAGCCAAACTGGCCATTGCTTTATCAGTATGCTATGTGTAAATAGCCATCAGGCTTTGCACTGAAACAGTTACTGTTGTATGGCTGAAATATATCTAGTATACGTATTTACTAATTGTCTTACTTTTATGTTATGCACAACATGGGGTGGATTTACCAACGGCAAATAGAATGTGCAACTCTGCAGTGCAGTTTTCTTATTTTCCTTAGTAAATGAGAATGTGGTAAGCTTCACTTTGTAAAGAATACCCAATCAGGTGCAAGGAAAATTTAAAAAAGGAGCATTTTTTGAGTGCACGATTGGATGTTGGAAATCAGCAAAGTGTTACCACATTTACTAAGCTCTGCAGAAAATAAGTGCAACTGCCCCTGCAAAGTGCACAGTCTATTTGCCTTTAACAAATGAAAGTGTTTCTACTTTGCTATGGCTGCAAGCTGAAGAGGTGCAACTTGTCTGTAAACATAAGGCCCCTTTCAGATGGGGCGGATCCGTCAGCGGGATCTGCCTGCTCAGCAGTTGATCTCTCCGCTGATCTCCGCTAAGCAGGTAGATGACAGATCTCTGTCCGCTCTGCTGCAGAGCAGACACAGACAGTGTCCACTGATTTCAATGGGATGGTCGGATGGCAATGGACCGCCTGTCCGTTTCATCTGATCAGATTTTGGCGTAGAGGATGGGATCAGATGTCAGCAGGTGTCAGCAGAATATTGTCCGCTGACACCCGCCGGTCCATAGAAGTGTATGGATGGACTGATCGGATCTGTCTGAAAAATGGACAGGCGAACACCATTGGTCCACTCGTGTAAAAGGGGCCTATTACAATAATGCCGCCTTGATTCTTGAAAACTATGCAAATAGTTGGGCAGAATTACCCAAGATCCATTACAAAAATGCTTGCAAATATGCTACCTGTAACATTTAACACATGTGAAGTAAACTAGCAGGAATTTGCTTGTATTTCCTTAAATAGGTCTGGCTCATAAAGCCAAATTTCCAATGAAAAGATATGAAGTAAGAGACAAAGAGTGATAATCCTTAGCAATCAGTTTTCAGATTACTGGAGAAAAATCAATGAATTTTGACTTCAGTCTGGCTGATATAGATTATTTAGTTTTGAACATTACAATTAAAATACACCCAAATGTGTTTAACATGTTTACTTACAATAATATTGTATACTAGCCTTAATATGCTTTTTTCTTTACCTGTTGCTGCTGGAAATGTAGAAGCTCTGCTGTACTTAATTCTCCATTAGTGTCTCCACTTGCACTAGCCTCCCGTGCTCCACCTCCTTCAGACTGGTTGGGAAGACTGCTTACTCCATTCTGACTGGTTGGAGTAGATCGAATTGATTCAGATGCAGATTCCACCATCATGACTTATTTTTAAAACCTGAGCAAGGAATGAGAGAGAGTGCGGGTCAGAATGCCTTTCATGCTGGTAATATAAATTATTTCTGAACCTTACTAACATGGCCAAAAGATTGGCCTACCCCAAACCGAAATACCCATTAGTTTTTTATATCTTGCAGGGGCTCTCGCAACAAGACTTCTACATGTGTTTTGCAGTGTCTGCTCTGCTATGGCAGCAAAATTCCTGCACGTTGTTCCTTCTGTGCACCTTCTGTGCATTACATTGGGATTTAACAAAACCCTTTATACCCAAATCAGAAATATCAGGGTTGGTTAGAATGTCCTCAAACAGGAACAACAGCACTCCAAAGAAACCTTCCAAGTTAAAAGCTGTACCACTCTTATATATAATAACTGCATGTGTCAACGTCTTTGTTTAAAAAAAAAAAATACAAAAAAAACCAAAACATTTTAACACTTTCTGGATCTTCTACTGCAATACAAAAATGATCACTTACATATTAAAATCATTTAAAGCAAATAAAAAGAACTACTGCATAAATAGCATAATACAGGGTAAAACCCTTAACGCTTGGTTCATATATATGTGATGTGGGAAACGCCGCAATCCCTGCAAGTTTCCCGCACTGCATTGCAATTGCAGTGTGTTTGCGGTCTGCTGTGGGTATCAATACAAAGTTAACGATACCCCAGTGCGGTTTGCCTGCACTGGGTTGCTCAGTACAAGACGACCAGTTACAGTGAGGCTAAAGAAAGGTGCCTGCACGTTTCTGGTGATATGCAGTGCAATTTTAGCCCATTCAAAATTAGTAGGCTCGTACTGCACCACACTAAATTGCATGTGAATTGCACAGGAATGCAGTGCAGTTCCTGTGTGATTCACAATCGAGCTATAGTGTGCATCGGGGCTAAATCAGAAAATCACAAGCCAGGGTGCAGATTAGAATCCTGTCCTGATATGATTCAGATCTAAAGTAAAAGTACTGCTATAAAATCAATATACACAAATCATGATATCAGACCTGCGCAGTTTACCTCCGTAAGGCAATTAACCCCCACCCCCCGCACCCCCATCCTCCATGCAATGGAGATATGAAAAGGTGGAGATTTCTTTCTTCCTGCTCCCTTCTCTTCCCTCCAACAATGTTCTCCACCAACACTTCTGTCATCATCTCATCTCCCCTTCTTTATTCTGGTTCCCTTCTGCCAATTTTTTTATTTGTCTTACCCACCCTGGTGAAATACTATTGTTTTGTCCTCTTCCCCTTTCTTACTCCTGTGGTGTCTGCTCTCTTTATTTTCATATACTCTAATAAAATTAACCAACAGTATTTCCATGTCTCATTTTACACTTTTCATTTTGCCTCATCCTTTGCTTATGTTCAACTCTTCTCCATCTCATCTTTGCTCCCTCTTTAAGTCCCAACATGTTATGTTTTATCTGCTCCTAACCCTCTTACTCTACAGTTTCCTTTCCTCCACTTCTCCATTCCAGGCTTTATTCTAGCTCTCTGTTCTAGAGGGGTTTTTTTTTCTGCCTGTAAACGCATATCTATGTTGGCCTGTATGTCCATCCACATAATACAGGAATATTAGAAGAGGAGCATTTACAGGTAGAAAAAATCGTCACCAGGAGTTTTTTTTTGGGGGGGGGGAGCTTTTGGGCAGAAAAAGGCAGAATGCGCATAAACATGTACATTAATACATTCTTAAAGAAAAAATAATATTCTGCCCAATAGAATATATTAACACACATACACATGAACATTTATAAGTGAATGCGTGTGCAATGCACAATATTTTTTAAGCTGCTTTTCCCTGCTAGGAGAAAAGGCGCTCAAAGGAGCTGAGCAAACACTCAGGGGTTGAATTACTAAAACTGAAGAGTGCAAAATCTGGTGCAGCTCTGCATAGAAACCAATCAGCTTCCAGGTTTTATTGTCAAAATAAAAATTTGATTGAACAAATTGTAGCTGTAAGGTGATTGGCTACCATGTACAGCTGAACCAGATATTGCACTCTCCAGTTTTAATAAATCAACCCCTCAGTGTGCATGAGGCCAAAATGTTGTTAGCAGCAGAATCTATGTATTGGCAATATTTGTTCCTGGTGATGAAGGTATCAAATATCCCTTCAGTGAAGAAGGTTAAATCAATTTTGGGGTCCATTTTGTTCAATTTTGGCCTGGACCTCTGTACCATGTCATCTTTCAGGTGTGTCAGATATCTGGCCGCTCAGTGCATGCTTTAGATCCAACCACGGCTTCAAAGCAGTGCCACAGAATCTAGCAACACAATCAGTTTATGTGCCATTTTCAAAAAGAAAATCAGCCTTTTGAAGTCTGCTTAAAGAGGAGCTCCAGTGTAAAAATGAAAAGACAGCCGGGTCCCCACTGTGCAGGTGTGAGCAGCGCTACGCATTATGAATTATCCCTCAGTCTTCTGGAACTTGTCACGTGTCCCATAAAACTGTGGGGAGAAAGGGGGGAAAGAACTTCCACTTCCAATCGCTTAGGTGGTTGGAGTGAAAGTGGGAGCAGTTCTGTCAAAATTAGGTACCTGCTCCCCAAAAGTGCCATTTATTTACCAGGAGCGGGGGAGAGGGTCTTAAAAGTGAGTATTGTATTCTGAGCTACTTTCTTATTTTACCTCTTCATGCCGGCCGAACGCAAATGTGCAGCCTCCCGGCGACTGGGCCTAGACGCCGAGCGGCCGCACATTTGCGTACTATTAAAAAAGAACATATAAGCTGAGAGCACGCCCCCTGCGTGCTCCTAGCACACATGTCCGTTACTCACAGAAAGGTCCCGATCTCCTCTTTCGATCAGGACCTTTCCCGATCATGTGACCCTACTCACATGACCCTAATCCCCGCCCCGCCTCCCGGCTTCTGAAACCCTTAAAGGGCCGGGAGGCACCGCCGCCAAGGGGTTAAGCATCTAAAAGGGGTTGAGAACCACAGCTATGAGGATCAATTACAGTTACTCACTCTGGAGAAGAGGCGATTAAGAGAGGATATGATTACAATGTACAACTATATGAAAGGTGTTTTCAGTAACTGTAATAAGCTGTTTACTCTATGGTCCCTGAAGAGAACACACACAGCCATGATTTAGATTTGGAAGAAAGGAAGTTTAACCTTAGATTGCAGAAAGGGTTCTTTACTGTTAGAGCAGTAAGTAATACTGGCTGAGAACTGGAAGTGGTACTATTTGAGAGTATAAACAGCTTCAAAAACTCTGAGATGTCTTCCTCAGAAAGCAAAATATACAGGGCTATGGGATTGTTAAGACAATAAAAATCATAAACAGATAGGTTGAAATTAATAGACCAGTGTCTTTTTTTTCAACCTTACAAACTATGTAACCTGTTAGGGGATCATTTTATACTTATCCTCATTGAATTTCAACTATTCACCTTTCTGCTTACAGCTGTAAACATCTGCACATATCTACAATGGCAAACTGTGCAGTACCTTAGTCCAGAACATGGATAGATCCTTTTAAGGCTGTCATAAAAATATGACAAAGAAAAATGAGCACAACATTTTTAGTTCCTACTTATAGTGACCATCCAGCTAGTTTTCATTAAAATGAGAGGTTACATATGATTGGTTAATAAGCAAATCAGTGCTGAATTTCTTTCTTTCATAAACATCTTCTTTGTGTCACAAGAAGACTGCTGGAGTTTTTATAGTCTAAAATTGTCAGTTGAGTTGAAGCCAAACAGTACATCTAAAACCGACACAGACATTCTTATGGTTTATTACTTAATATTATGTTTTGCCTGTAGTTCAGCATTTAAAGAAAATGCTGCTAAGTCTATCAACTTGTTAAACATAAACTGTTTTTGTAAACACAGAAATCTATAAATACAAATGACAAAAGTACATGCTATCACAAATATCAAAGTTTCCTACTCACACATTAGGTGCTGATGTTTCAAGGGGAATAAACTGCAAGCTGTGTGAAACAGAATTTATGTTATGTATATATTACTCTGCTTAGTGCTAATGTGAGGCTGGTGGGGGCAGTTTCAGTTATCAGTGCCCCTCTCAGTAAGCAAACATGGAAGGGCGTTTTTTTTTACAGCTGACTTTGAGAAGTGGCCAATCCACATTCTGCTGCATAGGTCACAGCACACAGGGCGGGGATGAACAAGATAAGCAGGGACATGGAGAGCTTATGATTTTGCCCATACACCTGAATCGAGTAGTCTGGTAAAGGGTCTCGGACTCTGCACTCACACACCCCAGATGGGAAAAAAAAAAAAAGCTTTATCAATTATTTGTTTTTTACCACCAGCAAGACAACAATAAGATATATGAACATGTTCTCTTTCAAATACATAAAAGCTTCCAGCAACTGAAGGCTTTACCTTATGCCTGTATATATATACTAACTATTCCAGTATACATGTGGAAAGCATGTGCTCATACATAAGGTGTGTCTATATTTACACACGCTAAAGCATATCTCTCTTCAATTATGTTTGTAGATATCTTTGAGGCAAAGTTCTACTTCTAATTGCTCAGAATTTCATTTTTACTAAACTTCATTTTCCTTCCATACAACTGGTTATCCAATCATTTGACAGTCATAACACTTTATATATATATATATATATATATATATATATACATATACATTATTTATTAAATTATTTAAATGTATATATTTCCATACCACAGCTGTTCATTTATTACAAAATTCAGAGACTAGGGCTCATGTACACAGAAACCAGGATCTGTTACCTGTCTTGTCACCTGGGTCATGTCCAGTCCATTCAGCAGGGGATTCATGATCAGATGGGACGGATCTGCTTTTGTGACATCTGTTCAATTCATATTTCTCTGCATTTTGACAGCTTACCTTTCTGGACCCATGTTCTATTTATAGTTGGCTGGATGCAAACAGACTTGTGTGCTTCAGGCTACTACTGATCTGTCATGTTTAGGTCCAAACAAATGGAAAAAGACGCAGTCCTATTCCTTTATTTTTT